TTGACCAGTCCCAATAGGCGGCGTCCGTTCACGAACATGACACGTACACCAGCACCGCCCAACTCAACCATATTATAGGGAACCGAGCGGTCCAGTGCCCGTGCCACCGCCAATGAGACTCCTGAGTGAGCATGACAACTCCCAACTGACACAAGTACCAATATACTATAAGTCTATAAGTCTAACTCAATTATAATAAGTTACAGGGCTCTCACATTTACAAAAATCCAGTTTATCAACAATCAACAACATGGTGAATAATTTAATAATTGAGATCAAAATTCCTCTTAACCTTAACAATTTTTATCCTGTGCAGTCAAACCAGCCACCCTCCAAGCATTTTTATCTTCTATATAATCATTTAGTTTGTAGTATGCTTTCCTACATAATACTTTCTTTATACATAATTTAAATTTACTTTCATTAAGATTTTGTATTTCAGTTGGGATTTTATTATAACATTTAACACATAATCCCATGAACGACTTATGCACTTTTGCTAATCTAAATAAAGGCTGACTTAATCTATTTCTATGTCTAGTAAGATAGTCATGCTTGTCAGATACTTTTACAAATAGCTGTAGGTTTTTCCTAACATACATAATGTTTTCATAAATATATTGACATGGTACGGTCATAATGTTGATCTCCTTAAACTTTTCTCTGAGAGATTCGCGACGACCTAAGTTATAGATAGCTCTGACTGCACGCTTTTGTAAGATAAAGATAGACTCAACGTCGGATGCCTGTCCCCACAACAGAATTCCATACGACATGATGCTGTGAAAGTAGCTAAAGTACACTAGTCGTGCCGTGCCTACGTCGGTTAGCTGACGGATCTTCCAGACAGCATAAGCTGCCGAGCTCAACCGCCCTGCTAAAGATCTAATGTGGGGCCCCCATTGCAGCTTGTCGTCTACAGTAATCCCCAAGAATGTGGTCTCCTTTACAAATTCCAGTTTCTGACCATTTAATAATATATCATCGCATACGTTACTTTTAACATTTCGCACGATTAATAGAAAATAGAACTAACTCAGAAAAGAGGGTACATCAAAATTTAACCTTATTACTGAGATATAATTGTTAAGATTCAAATACCTTATTTTTGAGTTATGGCTCTTTACTATTAAGCATACGATTTGGCAAAATAAATCTAATACATTTCGTCTTTTTATCATTAAGTACTAAGTTGTTTTTTGTGAACCAATTATGAACTTTCGTTAAGGCATTATTCACTTCGTCATAGTTATTTGATCGTCTATTTAATTTAAAAATCAAGGATGTGTCATCAGCGAATAATACCATATGCGGTTCACTTTGGAATAAATGGGGCAGGTCATTGACATAAACCAAAAATAGGAATGGACCCAATATTGAGCCCTGCGGTACGCCCATAGATACGCTAGCACCCTGGGAGTTTACTCTGTTTACTTGTACTGTAAGAAGTCTTTCTAGAAGGTATGATTTTAATAAATTTAGGGATACCCCCCGAATGCCGTAGTGTTGCAGCTTCAGTAATAGCGTTTCGTGCTCAACACAGTCAAAAGCCTTCGAAAGATCGCAAAATATTCCGATGGCATCCTGTGCTTTTTCCCACGATTTGAAAACTTGTTTTATAAGCGATACTCCTGCGTCCGTAGTGCAACGTCCCTTAGTGAACCCGTATTGTTGGTCATGGAAAATAGAATTCGCGTTAAAGTGACGCAGTATTTGAGTAAGTATCAACTTTTCAAACACTTTACTGAGCACTGGCAAAATAGAGACCGGCCTATAGTTATTGCGTTCTGTGCTATCACCTGATTTAAGTAATGGAACTACTTTACTATGTTTCATTAAATCCGGGAAAACCCCTTGATCTACACTTTTATTAAAAATTAAAGTTAAGTAAGGCGCTATAGTCTCTATAAAAGACCTGCACACTCTAACAGACATTCCCCAGAGATCTTCACTTGACTTTACTTTGATATCTTTAAACGCCTTTATTACTTCCTGGGGGTTTGTATGTTTAAACCTAAAGTCCGCAGGACATTCTTCTACGTTACTTCTGAGAAGCTCGACCGCAAGTGCTGGAGATGATTGCAACGTTTCCGTAGTTTTGATGGGAATATTTTGAAAGAAATTTTCGAATTCCTGGGCAACTAATGAATTTGTACTAGTAAATCCCTTTTCGGTTTTTAAATTAAATTCTGTCTTATTAGATTTGTTTCTACCTGTTTCATTATTAATTATACTCCAGGTAGCTTTTATTTTATTTTCCGCGGTCCGGATTTTACTGCTAATATAGAGTGATTTAGCATGCTTACAAACTTTTCAACGACGATTCAACGACAAGCAGTTTTCCTCAGCCCAAGTGGCAATTCTCCGGAGATCATCGTTAAGATCCTTTACAGCATCCTCGAACTCCTCTGGTCGGAAAGATATGTAAACCTGAACATCATCGGCGTATATATGATATTTACATTTATGGAGACACTTGATTATATCTGCACAATATAAAATGAAGATAATTGGGCCTAGAATGGATCCCTGTGGCACTCCCCTCTCTACTGCTATGAGTTCTGATCTCAGAGTAGTGCCGTCGCCCAAACGCAAATCGACAAACTGCTTTCTATTAGTGAGGTAACTGCGAAACCACTGAACGGCGCTAGGGTCGAAACCGTAATATTTCAACTTGCGCAATAAAAGCGGAATATTTATTGCATCAAAAGCCCGGGAAAAATCTAGCAAGACGAGCACTGTACACATTCCCCGATCCTGGGCAGCCAAAACATTATCGATAACGTCCAGTAAAGCTGTAGACGTACTGCGTTGCTTCCGAAAACCAGACTGCAAGTCAGGCAGAATGTTGTTTTTTTCCAAAAATTGGGTTAGCTGTTCGCTGACGACCTTCTCCAATACCTTGGATAATTGTTGCTGCCACTGTCTTATACAAACATTCTGACGCGACAGCATCATAATTATTCCCCAGGTAACTTTTGTCTGACCATTGAAAATCAGGCCTTAATATATAAGTATTATCTAAAAATTAGCTTCATTGAAAGTTTGTCAAACGTATGTCTCTAGTAAGTAAAAGTACACATAGATAGGTTGATGAAGCTGGCCGAATAACGATAAATATAAATGTCGAAATTTATATGAAAAATATTTAAATCTGAATGTTTGTTAGTATAATACACATAACAGCAAAACTAATTTGGATGAAATTCGATAAAAAAATATATAAATATATAGATAATTTCTTCTATTCAAACTTCGGAGGTATTTTTCCGGAGATGTTTTCGGTTCCAAATGGAATCAGGGTGTATACGTTAGAAAATGTAAATAATAATTTAGTGTGGCAACACTCTTAGTCGATTTTGAACGAATGTTCGAAAAATCGTTCGAATGTCGGAATTTTTAATTGTAACGTTTTTTTTTTTATAAGTTTTTGAAGATAATGCTTTTTGAAGTCATTGGCGTATAACTTTATTAAGCGACAACCGTTTTATGGTTGATATGACGCATTTTGATTGCTATACATATGTTTGTAATACAAGATTACAGAAAAAATATAGGTACAGTCATTGTGAATGTGTATAAACTTTTCCTTCTTAATGGTTTACGAAGTTTTTGTTAAACGTTTTAAAATACTACGAAAGGAAACGTGCTGATAACGATTATTTAAACATATTGTGTAAATCTGATGTTTCTATGATTATTAAGCCATGTTGAGCGAATGGACAAAAACATTGTGAGGAAATCTGAATTTATAGTTCCTAACTATATTTTTGAAATCGTTGATCCGCCTTGAGCAAGCCTATTGATTAATCACTTATAGGCTGATGATGATGCGATTGTATGACAAAAGATGTATGAACGTGATGGAAGATAAAAAAGTGTGTGAGGATCTTTTTCAGAAAGCCTGAATAGCCACTCTGTAATATATTAGACAAATTAGAATGGAAAAAATAATCTGTATGAGTTATATGGCACATAAGGCAAACGTAGTGTAGGGCGCCCTCCAGCTTGGTGGACTGCCGATATCCGTAGAGTGGCTGGCAGTGGTTGGATGAAAAGAGGTGAACATCGAACTCAGTTTGCTATTGGATAGTCCTATGTCCAGCAATGGACGAAATCAGGCTGATGATTATTTGACACTTAAGTTAATCAGGTACTTATATAAATGTGGTGAAATAATGACGAAAAATCATAGTTGATGATAAGCTGTGGGAATTAATGATTGTTTTGGAATTATGTGTTGATATGTAAATATTATTTTAAACAATCTCGATTTCTCCATTTTCCAGATTTTCGCATTTCGCTTAATTCCGACATTCGAATGATTGCAATACAACCTTATTATATTGATGTACCCACGTATTTTAATTGGCGAAATTGCAATTTTTGTTAAACATGTTTTATTAAAATGATGTTTTGTTTAAAAATAGGGGTAGATTTAATCGATCAATTCTCAGATTGTTTCGCACTGCTAAAGACATGTCAGTGGAAACAAATATGAACTTTAATTACCTCGCTTTTGCGGTTCGTTTTGTCTGTCAAAAGTTCCCACTGACATGTTTTTGGCAATATTATCTTAATTGTACAGCTAGCTTATTTAAGTGATAAACTTATTTATATTTTACAATAATTTTATCCTGTATCTATTTTTATAACGAATTGTAAATATTAATTGAAAAACAGAAACAAAAATAAAAATCAATGAATAATTTAAAAACATTTATTTTAACACTGTTACATACAAAATGTTTTTTAAACCAAACGGTTATTTCTAATATTACAAGTAAACCTTTATGCTTTAAAACCATTAAGACGACACGCATAATCCTCTACAACATTGTAATAAACATATAAACAAAAACAAAGATAATAGTTTAAAAAGTCTCTACAACTCCAAAAGGACATCACTATTAACAAATACACACAAAACTACAAAAACAATACATAAACAAGAAAAATCGACTACCAGTTGTAATATAGTCGATTACCGAAGCACAACACTAATTTCTCCTCGTCGTCTTTCCCATAAAATTTACTACTTGAGCGAAGGGCGCGAACTTGCCGCGTCTGTTCCGTTTCTTTAGACCAAGCTCTTGTAGTACATCATCAGATTCCACGACCGAGGAATCCATTTTGGACGCTGCATCCTCTGAGTAGTCTTCACTATCATTTTTCTCGGTATCTGAAACCTCTCTAAACTTCCTACCATAATCTATTTTACTTCTAGCTAAGTTTGGATCTCTCCGTTTCATCGATTCCGGTGAGCCGAATTTTGGATGTTCAGGCGGCTGGCACATTAGAGTGTCGTAAAAGAATCGGTCTGCTCTGCCGTCGGACTTCGGCCTGACCTTTTGTTGATCTTCGTCAGAACTCTCGTTCGACGAATGCAACTGTGGTGAACCCGGGGCTGACTTCTTGTGTAGTCTTTGGCTGGAAATAAATTACTTTTTTTTATTTTTATTTTATTTATTTATTTAGGTTTACCAACAGTTGTTACAGATGTAATAGGAACAGGAACTTAAAATATTGGTGTCTTATATCCAACTGTACAACCAATTACAGGTAAACACCTCATGCAAAATACACTATCAACATCTTACAACTATTCAATAATTTAATAACTTATTTCTACGTACTTAATTCTAGACAATATAAACATATTCTTCAATTTAAATCGCTATACATCAGTTCTCTTATGTTTGACATTTCTGACAAATGTTGACACTGAATCTGAGTGGACGTCAGCCAGGTTGCTGGAGTCGTTGATGAGTTTGCACATGCGGGGTATAGGCGAATTAGTACCAAACACTGTATGGCGAGCAGGTGGAACTAGGGGTGTTACAGGTTTACGAGGCGGTCTACGGGGCACTCTAAAATTGAATTTCTGCAATAATTGAGGGCAGTCAACCTTGTTATTGAGCAGTTTATGCGCGAATCTCAGATCCAGAAGCTCCCTACGGGCTTCCAGGGTACTCATTTTGTAGTGGTTTAGTTTTTCAAGGTAGGAGAGATTTCTAAATTGCCTACCTCCTGAGGCCCCCAGGTGTCGGATGAACCTTTTTTGGATCCGTTCTATCCGCAGCGAGTGGGTTGCGTAGTGAGGCCTCCATACCACACTGCAGTATTCCAGGATGCTTCTAATAAGGCTGTTGTATAAAACAAGTTTAGTTTGTGGGCGTTGAAATACCTTTCCATTGCGGATGATGAATCCAAGCATACGCTGAGATCGACTGATTATGTTATCAATATGCGGTAGAAATGTGAGTTTGGCGTCTAAGATAACCCCCAAATCCCGTATCACATCCACCTCGCGTAAAGCCACTCCGTTTATATGGTATGACGAGTTTACTATATTTAATTTCCTGGTGAATTTTATATGGCTACACTTCGAGTTATTCAAAGAAATTTTATTGTGATGACACCATACAGATAGTCGGTCGATATCTTCCTGCAAAAGCTTTACGTCTTGCTGAGATTTAATGGCTTTTGAGATTTTTACGTCATCCGCAAAAAGAAATATGTTGGTATTATGGAAGCTCAATGTCACGTCGTTTATGTATATGTTGAACAATATAGGGCCCAGGTGAGATCCCTGGGGAACACCTGAGGCAATTACATATCTTTTTGACTGGAATCCATTGACAACAACATAAAACTCCCGACCAGCAAGATAAGAATCAAACCACTTCAGAAGATTGCCGGCGACGCCGTACGCAGCAAGTTTTTTAATAAGCAGTTCATGTGAAACCTTATCAAATGCCTTGCTAAAATCCGTATAGACAGCGTCAACCTGCATACCTTCATCCATGGCTTTGTATGATGCTTCAACAAACGACACCAGATTAGTACTCGTTGATCTGTTCTTTACAAAGCCGTGCTGATCGTTGCTTAAGAATTTAGCAAAATAGCGTTGAATATGCGGACAAACCAACGACTCCAATATTTTACCAAAAATTGAGAGAATAGATATTGGTCTATAATTCTTGACGTCGCAAGGGTCACCACTCTTGTATACCGGTACTACTTTCGCTTGTTTCCACTTTTTGGGGAATTGGCCAGATCGGATTGATGTGTTAAATATCTTCATCAACGGAGCAATCAAATTAGGTGCACATTTGGCAATAAATAATGGAGGTATATCATCCGGGCCTGCCCCCTTTGTAATATCCAAGTTTTTTAATTTTTTTTCAACATCCTCATAACTGATATCTACAGAAGCTATACTGTCAGAGTGTGTAGCCATTACTTTCAAGTATTCCGAGGGAACGTTGTTTTGATCTGGGCGTGAGGTTGTTTCATCTTTATAAATGCTGCTAAAATTAGAAGCAAATAGTTCACATATTCCTTCTCCATTCGAAGATGTTATCGGACCATATGTCATTGATGCAGGGATTGAACTTTCTCCACCACGTTTATTCTTAACATATGACCAAAACATTTTAGGAGTGCTGACAATAGATTTTTCTGTACTCTCAATGTAAGTTTTATAGCACTCCTTAGCATAATTATCACATCTTTTAGAGATTAATCTCAGTGATAATCTGTCTAGAGGGTTCTTGTATTTTTTATATTTAACTCGAAGTTTGTTCTTTTCCTTTAATAACTTGACAAGTTTCTTATCAAACCATATTGGAACATTCCTACTTTGCCTTCGACTTATAGGTACGAAATCTGCAATGGCTGACGCAATCTCGTCGTAAAAAACATCCACCATTTCGTCAGCATTACGGCAACATCCCAGCTGCTCTTGCCAATCTTTATCCTCTAGGTACTTGTTTATAGCTTCATAGTCAGCCCTGTGAAAGTTTAATTTTCTAATGCTATTAGATTTAAGTTTTGTCGATTCCGTCAATGTGATTTGTATTTCTAATGGGGGATGATAAGGGTCTACAACACTTAAGGGATCCGCTTCGCTAACGCAGCAACCCGGGACATCCACCAACACAATATCCAGCAGTCTACTGTTTTTGTTGGTAACATTATTGCACTGTCGGAGATTATTAACTGAAGTGAAATCAATGAGAATTTGATCGAGACTACTATTATGTTGATTTTTGAGAGGATTATCTAACTCGCTCCAGCTTATAGTCCTCAAGTTAAAATCTCCCACAATACATGTGTACGCATTATCATCATCTTGGTAAGAGTTACAGTTAGCAACAAAATGCTCCAACATTGATTTAGAGACTGGTGGTGGCAGGTAGACTGCACAAAGGTTTATACGGCGGAGCTGCTTTGTGCGATCACACGGTATTTCTACAGACACCCATAGATCCTCGCAATTACTCTGTCTATGTATTAATCTTTTTGATGCTAGTTTATTAGACACTGCAATTAAAACACCTCCGCCATCCTTGCCCCTGTGGAAGCCCGAGCTTTCCCTGTCTCTTCTATAAACACAGTACCTACCATCAAACAGTTCATTATTGCTTATACTTCCTTTAAGCCATGTTTCCGACAAAATTAGAACATCGTAATTAGAAGTTGCTATATTACATAAAAAATCGTGCGTTTTCGTCCGCAGGCCTCTTACATTCTGATAATAAATCTCTATATTAGATAAACTGAATTTTATTTGCGCGTTCAAGGAAACATGCCTTCAAGAATACTACAAAAACCAAACTTATTTCAAATTATCCAACATTTTTAAATCTTTAATCACTATATATTCTGATGTAACGTCTTTACGCATAAGAATACGCCCGCCTCTAACCCACACAAACTGGAATCCTATTTCTTTAGCTTTGGTTCTGGCTGCAGCGTGGATTTCTTTATTGGTTGCCGATAGGTGCTCCATTACGTAAATAGGTTGTACAGGTCCTGCCAACCCAATATGAGAGGAATTCAATTTATCTTTGTTTTTCTTATTGAAATTAATCGACGCTGCCAAAAATTGGTCACGAAGTCTTGGAGTACTGAATTGAATGATAATAGATCGAGGCCGGGGAGAATCACGGTTTAACTTGGCAATTCGTGTGCAGCTTAAAATATCATTATCTGCAACGGTGCAGCCTATGACAGACCCCAGCTGTTTTGTTAGACCAATAACATTCTCTGCTTTGTTTTCTGGAACGCATTGAATTTCAATATTACTTGATCTAGCATGGTGTTCCATCTGGTTTATGCGATTTGTAAGCTTTACAATGGTATTGGACATTTGTTCATTTTTTGCTGTTAGATCTTTTGCAGTTTGTGCATATTTCTTGGCTTCCGAAATAGCAGTTTCATATTGTATATTCATAAAAGAAATAGATTCTGTTACTACTCTCAGTTCTTCTCTGATTGTTTTGAGCTCCGAGTTCATATTGGCATTTAATTTTGCTAGCATGTCAGATATTGCATTTTTTATCACTTCCTCTACTATGCCTTGAACATCAGTCTTAGTCAAAGTGCTACATTCAGGTGACGACAAAGCTATTCTTTTTTTGGCGCGTGAAGTTACATTTTCTTCTGATCTGAGGGGTGTTACAGTATTTTCGGAGTTCCCTTTTGATGTCGGAGATGATGGTTCAGCCATTATAGAAAAGAAAAAAGTTATCTTGGTTGCTGTGCCAAAAGACCCGGTTTCGATTCAGTTTAATACTATGCTTGACAATGCGCGATTGATGTTGCTGGAACGCGCCCACAAAGACGGGTGACAGTCTATGGTCAGTACGCACGCTTATGTTGGTAGCACTGTTAATCACAACTGACTGTGATTTGTTTACGTTTTGAATGTAAGAAAAAACGGTCACTTATTTTGTAAGTTCAATTCACTGTTGTACTTGTTTATAATTGAGTGATTCGTATTACATCAAACGCCACTAAACAGTGATGTGTTAGTGCACAGATTACTTTAAAACACTGAGTATTTAACTTTAGTTCATAAGTTCACTTTGCCCTTTGTATCACAGCTAATGTTCACAGAGTCTGATCCATTGTTCACGAACAATATCACGGAAAGTCTTATTCATTTGGAATGTAATATCACCACTATATTCGCGTATTTGATGATTTAAGTATTAACTTTAAGCCTTAAATACGGAGCCGATGTTGATGACACTAATGACAGATGACATTATATGCTATATTCATACTTTATGAAGTAAAACTTAATCCAGAGAGGATTAAGTTTAACTTCATAATTAAAATATATATATATATATATATATTTAGTCTAGGTTAAAAGCATTGAGTCAGTTTTGTATTTTGAATCTTATTCTTACCTAACTTAAATTCGAAATACAAAAACTGACTCAATAGTTTACACCTAAAGAAAAACCTTGTAATAACGCCGAATATGTCTAAAATTGCCATGATTTAAAAGTCCTCCACCTATTCGCCAACTAACTTAATCTTGGTATAAACGATAACCAACCTCGTAACCTTCTACTTGGAGTTGGTTTTGCATAAGCAACACAGGTAAGTCATACGCCCTATTTGAAATGAGCTGACGATTATTATAATACACTTACCATCGTTTGATATCGCTAGCGACCATAGTAGGCAGAGGGGATTGAGGTTGGAAAGTCCCCGTAGCACCAGCAGCAGCCGCTTCGTCCCCACCTACAGAAGGCTACACAGAAAATATATTTTATTAAATTGCAAAAAAACTACTAAATTCTCAAATTAATTTTATATAGCAACATTATATTCAGTTAGGTTTAAATTCAAAATTTAAATGGATGTAGGAGCCATTTCATGTTTTTGAGATAAGCTGAATATCGAAATCAGTGGCATATTTGAAGATTTGCGATTGAGCTGCTGAAGATGCGAGCGATTTTGGCAATTGGAGAGCCATAATATGTCTAGCAGTTAATGGAATCAGGCTGACTGATGATTATTGGCACGTAAGTTAATCAGGTACTTAGATAAATGTGGTGAAATAATGTGGAAAATTATTTTGCGAGAGAGAGTGTCAGACTCTTACTGACTAAAAGCCACCTCGTTCCTTCTCCTGCTCCGGGCAGGTGCCACGTTACATAATTTCGCTTAATCTTACCTTGGTAACCAAGTGGAAGTAGCAGTGAGTGACTCTCTCGACATCAGCCCATGCGACGATGTAACGTGCCATAGTCAGGGGTATCTTCGGCAGGAAATTTGAATGAAACTTGCCCTGGCAGTAAATCGTGATCACATCCGTGTCCTTAATCTCAAAGATGATGCGGAATATCGTGCCTGGAAGACAGTTTTGTACTCAACATTTTACTGTGTCACAGTGTGTTTTCTGAGTTGATTTGCATATGGTGTATTGTTGTGGTGGATCAGATGTTATGGCACCCATTCTTCATGCATAATGGTGAGATTTCGAAGCGCGACACTGTATCTATTTTCGTGTTCTGTGTGATTATTTAGACATCATTGACAGATGACGAAGAAAATGAAATCATCGTGATGAAACCTGGACTTATAATTTCTAATTAGGTACATGTTTAAAATTTCGATTCCAATCTAAGCAAGCTTGGTGATTAATGCTCAAACCTCTTTGTGTAAAGAGAGGCCTTTGCTGAGCAATGGGCACTTAAAGATTGATGATGTACAATGGAAGATATGCACAATCAAAGTATTGGGCAAATTTTGTGGAACGTATCGTTTAAGGCTCGGTCCCACACGGAAAAACTCTTTGCGTGATTAACAAATTGTTGTTCCTGGTCTGGGTTTGTGTGTGTGAATTTGTGTGTTTGTGAACGCCCCCATAAAATAGGAGTGAATACCTAAACGTTTAACAAATATTTAATTAAATACACTTTCGAAAGACAGTTAAGAGAGACATGTTTCCATACAAACATAAAATCACGATTTAAAGAATATTGCGTAGGTACAAGTCTTATTAAAATCAGATCAGTAGTTTCTAAGATTTTCGACTTGTAAAGAGGCATACCAACCTGGCACAAACATGTTATAGTTGGTGTCATAGTTTCCGCTGCCGATCCAAATGCCGTTTTTCCGTGAGAGGGAGATGATGTTGTCTCGGTGGAACCTAACGTCGAAGTGGAGTACGACGTCTCGAGGCTCCTCACCCTCTTGCGCGCAGAGGTTCACCGACATTCTACACATAATATGACACTTACACTAATGCGAAGTCAAAAATCTCTACTAATATTATAAAGAGGTAATTATGTAGGGGGTAACCTTTGGAAACGCTGGTCGGTTTTCCAAAATTCTTTCACTGATAAATATATAAGCTACAATATTCCTGATTGCTATAGTTTATAAATTATAATTGATTTGAGTATTTTAGTCAAGCTATTGCTTTGAACACTGCTGTTTTTACACGATTTTTTCAAGGCAAACCAGAACCTCTTGTACTTCGACCAACAAGCTGCCTGCAACGTAAGGAGATCATGGCCTCTTATGAAGAAGAGGGCTACCATATACCTACCATACCAACAGGAGACTATCACAAGCTGTAAATGTTGGATGTTGAACGGTAAGCGCAACGGCAACTCAAAAACGCCTGGACCAATGTTAACAATTCTTATTTTGTTGAGTTTATTATTGTCAGGAAAAGTTTCTTGTAAAAAATAATTTTAGAAAGGTAGAGGGAATATCGGGATACATTTACAACCGGTTGGATAACCGTACGAAGCAGTGGCTAGCGTTGAATGAAATCTCAATTAGTTGTGATGATGATGATGTTGATAAGGATATCTGTCAACCCGCCAATGTTATATTTTTAAGATCATTTCAAATTGTGTGATCCAATGTTAGAAGTGATATTCCCTTTAGTAAATACTAGGTCAGCTCGCAGCTCCGACCATCGTACTCTGGCCGCCATTGACTCATTACATCGACAATCGATTTACAAAAATAGAAGAACTCAAACTCCCCCAAACTAAGCTAAATTTATATAACTAGCAACACTGAAACAAAAAAGGACTTACTTGCGAGCATTCTCTTTAATTTTACCACCGATTTCGATTCTGTCACCAACTTTGAGAATACCGGGTATGTTAGCGGTGAAAACGGGCATTTTTTACAATTAATCTCTGTGTTATATCTAAACAAGCCTGCCCCAGTGATCATTAAGTCAGGGCCGGTTGTGGTAATGGACATTTTGAACGGCAAATTTAAACATTACACTATTGTGTATGTAATTGAATGTTTTTGGAACCTCTGATGATTTTTGGTTATATCTGACGTATGCCACGTTGACAAACACGCTAGCTTCGTATAACTTATTTCTCTTCTATTTGTTTTTAATCGGCGTCCAACTTTCATAGAAGGTTAGGTTGTTTGGAGGTTTTTGTTGATTATACTTCTCAGATTTCATTCTTTAGTTATTTGTCGTATTCTAGGTTTTTTGTTGCTTATTTATCATTCAGTGCTTGACGAAGTCAGTGTAAACTTCAAAATGAATCGTGTAAACACTGACTATCTACCTATATTTAATAGAACTAGCTTTCACCAGCGGCTTCGCGCCTATAAAAGTAATGTATCCCGGTATTATTTAAACATTGTTGTCCCGCTAATTCCTGTTCAGGAATTTCAGGTATTCCTTTTTATTGCACCTCTATGGTACCTAAGCTACAGTACGGCCAACGTATCTTGGCGAGTCTGAAGTTAGCCGTTTGTTTGCGCAATGGATCTTTTAGGAATAAAATTGTGTACTGCGCAGCTAATCGGCTAACTTTAGACTCGCCAAGATACGTTGACGGTATTGTACGTCCCTTCCAAATTTCAAGTGCCTATGTTTAGCCGTTTTAAACAGTGGATAGTTTTGCTTTGTCTGACATGGTCTGACACAGGGCAGGCAAAAAGGAACGGAAAACAATGAATTTTTATACAATCTCTTGACTAGTCTTGACGTCATAGATTGGCTGGACCGCTTACTTGATCATGTATCGGCAGACGTAGCGTGGACTAGTGGACATTAAGTGTGGCCAGGAAAGGTTCAACGAGGAAAGAGGAGAATTGTGTTATGGTGAAGCCTGAAAAGGGCGTACGGCCTGACTTTTTTCGAGTTCACAGGTAAAGCCTTGTCCCAAAACATCGTTATATCGATATAAAAGTTGGTAGATACTGCTCTGCATATCTTATGGAATAACACATCGTATAGAAGCTGAAGCAGAAAGACATTTCCTTGGCAGCTGCGCCAAGGAAATGCCAATACGTAACGTAATACTCAATTTTACAGCATTAATAAGTGTATCTGTGTATACCATTTTTGACGTAATTTGACGTAGCAGATACGGGAAAATTCTTTTATTTGCTATAGCAACACGAGATACCTTACTCCAGCAGAGTAAAAATGTCATCACTAGTCATCAGTCATCTCGTCTTGTCATTGAAGTTTGACAGTTGTGATCGTAGTTAACCTCCAGTACTATTTTTGGAAAAATTATCACATTTTAAACCATATTTATTAAGGTTTATGTGTGAATAATCTATAAAAATATAAAATTTTGTTATTGATAACAATTAGAGGTAAGTTTATATTTTTATTCCCTCATTTAAGTCAGAAAGAATGATGCAAGATTGTACTAAAGATTAACAGGACTGTATCAACAAAAGTATTTGTTTATTCGTTATATAGCTTACGTGTTAAGATTTTTTGGTAAATTCTCTTCTAATTAGACATAGCTATTTAATTAGAAGCTTGGTAATTTCTTTAATAATGCTTATCGGAAACCGGCACGTGAACGATGCAACCTTATTAAAAAATACTTCAGATACTATCGAAAACATTGTAGGATGGAAAGTTTATCATATCGATAACCTGTGCACATCCTTTCCGATGCGGTTTCTGTGATAATCTTGTGTTATTTGTACGAAGTTTGATAGTAAACATATATTTTACCTACTCACTTATGCATATATATTTAGGTATAGTTAGCCTAAATTGTGTTACAAAATCATGCATGATGCAACCAATTGTCTTTGAGTTGTAACTTTTCAGAATTTTGATGTATGTAATTGAAAACTAGTGCATAGAAGTTGACAATATCATTGTTATTTTTTATTGCAATATTTTTTGGTGTTATCTTATCATAAAACAAATTGTGATAAAACATAAATTAAAAAAACAAAGTTTTTTCTTTTTTTCTTCTTCATTGGCAACTGAGTCTCCAATACATACAAAGTTATTCACTAGCTTTTCGTTATTCATAATCAGCCAATAAATGTTCCACATCTGAGAAAAGGTCTGTTCTCTCTCTGAGAAGCAATTGTCTCATGTGGAGAAGGAATAAATAATTAATTACCAAAAACCTATACTCACATAACAGTGTTAGCATAAAAGGATTTGAATGTCTGTCTCCTTGATTGGCAGTCAGACTTGAGGCCATTGTTGTCGGTGTTGTAAGACAGTCAGGATGTTGTAAATAACACCTTTAATAATGTTACAGTTACAGAGCCACGCTTCAGCATGCTTAGGTTGACTCAACAGAAGTGTAATGTGCAGTAGTTGGAATGCCAATACTTCTCTTTCTCCGATCCCTAAATCAATCTCACAATCCCTAATCTTCACACATAGCTATTTTTTTTTTACTTGCAATAAACTAGTGCTTGACTGCGATCCCACCTGATGGTAAGCAGTGATGCAATTGTTGATGGTACGCGCACTAGTTTATTAAGAGCCTATTCACTCTAGCTCCTCTGTTGTTGCGAGTGTCTATGGGCGGTGTGATTTCTTACCATGATGTAATACTCAGCCTGTTTGCTGACATACAACATACAAAAAAAACATATATCATAACCTTCCTTATATATATGACCATCTAACACAATTCTAATTATCCTAATTACAAGTTCCTGGTTGTTCATAGAATTCATGGTTTACTCATAATATTCAGTTTTTGTTTGCAAATTGACAGTATTAGTTTTATCTTGATGCTCTTGTGTTTATCATTTTATTAAATTGCAAGGTTCAAATTAGTGAAGGTCGAGTTAGATGGAATTCCTTGCAATGAAACAATGAATTTATTTTTGCAAATAGGCCATAAAATTTTGCAAATAGGCATTTTTACATGTCAAATTATATGTGAAAAACTAGATGAAGCCGGCAACAACAACAACGGCAGCTAGTTATACTATGATATCTATCAATATTTATGTTATAAAGCTGAAGAGCTTGTTTGATTGTTTGTTTGTTTGTTTGCTTAAATGTGTTAATCTCTGCAACTACTGGTTTGAATGGAACAATTATTATACATTCAATAACAATAAAAAAAGGGATTGGATACTCCATTCATTGATAAAGGCTATGTACAGTATGGCCGCCGTATCTTGGCGAGTCTGAAGTTAGCCGTTTGTCTGCGCAATAGATATTTAAGGAACAAAATTGTGTACTGCATAGCTAATCGGGGAACTTCAGACTTCAGACTGAAATTGGGGGAAGGATTGGGCTTCCAGTAACCTCACTCACACGGCGAAACATAACGCTGTGGTTATTTCACGCTGGTCTCCTGCGAGGCTGTGGTATCATACCGGTCGAGCCGACCCATTCGTGCCGAAGCATGGCTCTATATACTTCCAAATTCAAACCTAAAACCAAATATGAAGGTTTTGAATAAAAAAAAAATTGTTGTATGATGGAATCAAACATGAAATTGCCTGGCTGCTATACAGTTTAGTAATTTTAGAAAAGGTTCAACACATATTTAAAATTATTTTATTCTCGCATAGGCATCATCACAAGATGGTAGTATCAGAGGAGCAGCCACCGGCAGTGGAAGGAGACGCAGCTGCCAGCAAGAAGGCCGCGAAGAAAGCCGCCAAAGCTGCTGAGAAGCAACAGAAGAAAGCTGAACATAAGGTAATTACATAATGTTTTTAAATTAAAAAAAGAAACTAGCGAAGCTAAGTTCATACGCGCACTCAAGAATATCCTCATCAACAAAGCCTACTACTCAATTGATGAATATATAAATGATAACAACATTGTCCATATACAACATAACGCATAACAACAAGCACATTACCATGATACATTTATTGAATTTTCATATATATATATTTTAATTGTTTTAATTTTAGATGTAAGTTTTATTTTGCTGTGCCCTACAGGGTCCACGATTGTACTTAGCTCTAAGCCATTCTGTAACACCTTTTATACATTGTGGAATGCAAATAAATATGAATATGAAATTACTTGGAATCTTTTAGTAGTGATATCTCCTAACCAAAACGACCTTCAAGAAACGAGCGTACTTCTTAAGGCCGATAATGCGCTTGTGATTTCTAGTTTTACTGGTCACAGCCTCCTTTTCAATAAAAATAAACAGTACAATTGAATAATTATCATTTGTATTAACAACTACCTATTCTCGTGCGGTTTCACCCGCAGCTCGGCTCAATTGTATCGTAGCGTGATGTTTTACAGCACTCAGGAACATTTTAGCTATCTATCAGTGAAATAATTTTAGCAATCCGACCAGGCAGCGGTTCCAAAGATAAAAAACAAAGACAAACTTACAAATTTTACCTCTTTATAATATTAGTATAGATAAATCGACAATGAGGAATGGATGTGGTCTCGATGTTTGGTTCATGAACCTGGCAAACAAATAGGATGGTTTGGAATTTTCCAAAATAATCTCGAATCTTCAGCACAGTGTTATACATATAAATACAAAAATAATTTTATCTATCGATTTTTTAAGTTGCGTAGTTTTTAAGATTTAATTATACATAGCGATATAGGGACAGACGAAGTCATTTTGTTTTGTACTATGTACTGATTTTTAATACCTCTCATCCTCAGGCAGCCTCTGGTCAGGCTCAACCAGAGGCCTCGGAGCCAGATGTGTCAGAAGGCCGGTATGGACAGCTGAAGATGATCCAGTCTTCCGGAGAGAATAGAGACAGGGTCTACACTGATGTAAAAGATCTCTCTGTCAAACTCAATGGACAAAACGTCTGGGTACGAGGTAAGTTCCAGTTAAATTATTTAATTTTGATTATAAATTTATAACACTAATAACTTATTAGTATTATTAAGTTGAACTTAATCACGTAATCTTTCGAGGAAGCTCGTCTAGTTTCAAGCCATGACTGGGGCTTGTAACAGTTGAATATTTTTAAATAATGTTTCGTATTTCAACTTGTATATTTAACTTTAAAGAGTATCCCTGTACGTTATGTGTAATTTGTATAAATAAAACATTTATATTTTTTTATTTATTATTTATATGTATTTGGGTAAATGTATATTCTATTAACGGAATATAGAGCAAAATTGCTATTATTTTGACGGGTCAAAGGTATACCAGTCTTTCGTGTTAATATCGTCAATCGTTGAAGAAGGAGTTGAGTTACAATAAAACATACAAAAAACAATCGGGTAGTTACCTAGGTCAAAAATAAATTAATTCGACGTTTCACTTTCAGTACAATGAAATATTGAAAAATAACTATACTTTTATTCATCGATCAATCGATACACTAAGTTTTAGATATTTTTTAGCTAATTATTAAGAAATAAGTTTGACGCAAAAACGTTATGATAATTTTTTTGCTGGGCTGGGAAGTTTTTGATACAGGTCGAAGGACTGGGAATTTAGGGAACAGGAAAAGAATATGTGATCTAAGGTCCCCTCATCAAGACCGCATTCGCACAGCGAGCTGTCACGAACACGGATCTTGTTGAGGAATACCGGACTACAGCAGTGGCCGAGTCTAAGTCTGCATAAGGACGCAACAATTTGTCGGGAAAACCTAGGGTATCTGCAAAACCAAGGCTTCCGCCGGACTGGATATTTGCGTAATAGGTACCCTTCCGTTTGGAGGACTCTGCCCACACAGCATCCCACTCGCTGAACAACTTGTGTTTGGTGTCAGAACGTAAGTCATATCCATACACAATGTAGTGACGTCGCTCGACATCGTTTGTAGCTGCAAACTTTGCCAATGTATCCGCGCACTCGTTACCGCATATACCAGCGTGGCCAGGAACCCAGGCGATCTCAACGTTTAATCCATCTATGTGGCAAGAAAAAAGCAAAGATTTTATTTCTATAACTAAACTATTATTTGTTCGAGAATGGAGTTGGTCTTGGCTCAGGGACTGTAAGCTGCTTCGAGAATCTGAGAAAATTACAGAATTGTTAAGGTTATGAGCTTTAATAAATTGTATCGCTTCTAAGATGCCAACACATTCCCCAGTGAACACAGAGGCCTGGGGAGGACATTTAGAGAGCAGCACGATTCTTGAGTTTTGGTAATACGCCGCCACTCCCGTGCATCCGTTTCGGGACAATTTGGAAGCATCCGTAAAGAATACATTCCAGCCCCTCCAATATTTGTCCAACGCATGTTTAAATTCCACCTTTGCGTTCACCGAGGACTTTGAGATGTCAAGATCCAAGACAAGCTTTGGCCTGAAGTGAATCACTTCATATGCAGAAGAGAAGACGGGGAGTACAGGGAATTGACTGATAGGTGCAGGGAGGTTTTTAAGCTCCCTATACCGAACAATCACAGGAGGGGTGGGTTTATGATTCCAGTATGAAGAGGAACTGTAGGAACTGTTAATTTGTTCTAAAATAGGGAGTAGGGGATGAGCGGAAAAGGAAAGGACTTTTGAGACGAAACGGTCTGCCAGGTATTGTCTACGTAGGTCGAGGGGGGGTTCCACACACTCGACCTGAAGAGCGTTTATGGGGGAGGACTTCATAGCTCCAACAATTATTCTAAGGCATTTGGCCTGAATGGAATCTAGTTTTTTCAGTGCTTCCTTATTGCAGGGGGCAATAACGTAGCAGCAATAGTCCATTACACTTCTGACCAATGCATTGTATATTAGCTTCAATGTGTACGGGTGAGCACCCCACCACACCCCAGTCAGAGCTCTAAGTATAGAAACCGAGCGTTCGCATTTTCCAACCACAGCGTTCACGTGATCCATGCCAGACATTCTCGAGTCGAGGATAACTCCCAAAAATCTAGCGCAACTCTTGATTGGAATAGCTTGATCATCAATTTCTATACGAATATCCGGTGTGTGACGCCTGCGTGTAAAAATGACAGCTGCGCTTTTTGGGGCGCTTAAAGACAACCCATGATCCAGTAGCCATTGGTTTAATGAGGCCAAAGAGACATTCATGGAGAGGGCGGCGTCCGTTATAGAACTGCCGGTGATCATTAGGGCGATATCGTCGGCGTATTGGAGGGCATTACAATCATAATTTAGACAGGAGGGGAGATCATGGGTGTAAATATTATAGAGGATGGGACTAAGGACTGAACCCTGAGGTAAACCTCTCCAGGCGATTCTCCGGACAGGTTCATCTTCAGGAGTTCTTAATTTGAGGGGGCGGTTAGAGAGGATGCAGCCTATAATTCGGCAAATCCTACTCGGGATTCTCAGCTCTTGCAGTTTCTGCCTGAGAAGGGGTAATAGTACAGAATCGTAAGCTGAAGAAATGTCTAGGAAGACCGCGACCAACGACTCCCCCCGGCTAAAGGCTAGTCGGATGGCTGAAGTGAGGGTACCCACACTATCAGCCGTACCCAGACCCTTCCTGAAGCCGAATTGAGCCGCCGGAAGCAGCCTCCTGCTTTCTACCAGCCATTCAAGGCGGTTTTTAACAAGGTGCTCAAGGACTTTTATAAGGATAGATGATAGGGCAATAGGTCTGTAGGATAAATGATCACCGGAGTCTTTGCCAGGTTTTAACAGAGGCATAACAACCTGAACCTTCCAAGCAGGAGGAATATAACCGGAAGAAAAACAAAAATTTGCCAAGTCAAGGTCTGTCTAGTTTTAATTCCTGCTTTACTTAAAAATGAGTAAGGGAACCCATCGACCCCAGGTGCTGAGTCCTTCACGTGACTAAGAACCGATTGGAGTTCCTCAATTGAGAACTCCATATCAAGTGGGTCCTGTGTTTCCTCATAGGGACTCGGGCAGCATTCTTCTTTATCAGGAACATATGATGGAGCAATGTTGTTAAAAAAAATATTTTTTAAAAACTCAGGTAAGGTAGTAATTGTTGGAGGTTTAGTGGAGTTCCTGAAGTTCTTCACTCTCTGCCACACCATGGATCTTGGTGTGGATGGGCACAGTGAGCTACAGAACTTTTTCCACCCCTCCCTCTTCTTCCTTTTGAACAATTTCCTTGACTTAGCCAATATCTGTTTGAAGTTAAGGAGGTTCTCCAGGTTCATTTCATGGTTGTATATCTTTTCAGCTTCATTCCTGGCCCTGATCATAGCAGTGCACTCACTATCCCACCATGGAGGGGAAGGGATTTTTCTTTTTGGTGGGTTCTTCACCGGGAAGCAGTCTTCTGCTGTGGAGGTTATCAGGTCTGAAAACTTTTGGAAACACTCCAAAGCATTCTCAGCACTAACTGATGGAAGGAAAGAAATGCGGTGGTCCACTAACCTTGAATAAAGGTTCCAGTCCGCGGAGTCCAAGCGATATTTTAAAAGGGGAGGGAGGGGATTATCAGGAATGGATTTCGCTGGGTTTTTGATTATGATGGGATAGTGATCGCTACCATAGGTCATATCCAAACGACACCAATTCAGCAAGCTAGCCATCCCAGACGAACAGAAGGTCAAGTCCACACAACTGCTTCTTTGACCAAGTGTAGGCCTGCGGGTAGGGCTACCATCATTAATGACACACAAGTTGAGTTCATCCAGCATTTCCACTAATTCTGTACCTATGTTGTCACATGTTTCTGAACCCCATCTGTAGTGATGACAGTTGAAGTCGCCCATTACTAGAAGCGGGCCACCCACAGTAGTTAATAATTTTTTTATTAAAATAATATGTTCAATATGTGGATGGGCAATATAAAACATAAAAATATTTATATCCTCAGCCTTAATAGCGACAACATTTATGTCATCGCCAACAAAGGGTAGAGGGATCTGGATGAAGGGTACTTTGTTATTAACTAACAAAGCACAACCTCCATAACCATCAGATCTGTCATGTCTGGCTACGCTGAAACATGGTATCCCGAAATTAATGTTCGGTTGTAACCATGTCTCAGCAATGCCACAAATTATTGGATTAAATTTGTTTATCAAATGGAGTAAGTCACTCTTCCTGGGAAGAGTACTCCTCACATTCCACTGAAGAATGGTTAGGGGTAGGAATTTTATAAATATAATCTAAGATTGTGGCTATTCTATGTGCAACGTGGTCCGGTAAAACTTGGGCAGGGTTTGATAACGCTGCTATCAACATGTTAGAAATTACATTTAGTATGTTGTTAGAGCTATGAGTGTTGGTTCCGGATTCCATAGGGAAGGCGCAACCGTTTTTGGATGGGGAAAAGAAGTAGTTATGAGTAAGGGCCTGATGGGCCTTCTTGTCATAACTCGGTGAGAGAGGAGCATGGGATTTTGGTTTAAGGAGCACTGTTTTTTTATAAGATGCTCTTGGTTGGGGAGATGATTTTTTACCAGGTGATGATACAGATTGGTTAATTGGTTTAGAAACCTCGGCATAGGACCTTTTGACAGCAGGGAACACTTGACTTGCTTCTGCATATGATATTGATTTCTCCGCCATCAAAGACTTGATGCTTTTCTGGCGGCCTAGCTCCGGGCAGGCATTGTAGTTTGCGAAATGATTGCCATTGCAATTAACACAATGAGCAAATTCATTTGGTGTTTTGCAACCATCACCAGGGTGATCCTGGCCACACTTAAAGCAGCGCGGTTTCGAGCGGCAGAGTGTGCGGGTATGTCCGAACCGACAACAGTTGTAGCACTGTATTGTTGGATATGAATACAGTTCCACCGGAAGAGATGAACAAAAACAAAACACTTTTTTAGGAAGTACTTGTCCATCGAAGGTGAGGACTACAGTCTGAGTAGGCCTCCATTCTGTTCCGTCTAAAGAAGTAACCTTCCTATTCATCCTCCTTGCCTTAATTACAATCCCACATCCAGCGGGAACCCTAATATTACAGATAATTTCTTCCTCGGTCCATTCAACAGGGATGTCCCTCACAATGCCCATTCTCGTTATATTAAATTGTGGGATTGAGGTATTGTAGCTTTGCGCAACCACACAATTCACTAAAAAACTGTTAGCGTCCTGATGCGACACAAACTCAACCGACACTCTGTTTCTGCCCAGCCTCTTAACTCCGCCGATTTTTACATTTCTTACGCTAATTTTCGTAAGAAACATACCAAATTTAACGGGATGGAGTGTTATACCTGATGTCTGGGAGTCCTTCAATGAAACATAAACTATGTATGGTGGGTTATCTGTCTCAGTATAACACTGCCTGCCATTTATGCTTTTTGCCAGTTTGGGAGGATTATTTTGGGAGATAGGGGGAGAACCTGCTGGTCTCTTCCTTTTACTATGGTTTGTATCGGAATCCATGGGTTCAATTTCCGGGTCATCATGAGGGAGCGAAACGGTCAAAATTGGTTTTAGGTCTGGAGATTTATCAGGGGGATCAGGGGGTTTCTCCTCGTCCATGTTAAAAAGTTGAGGGATGTGAGGAGAGGAAATAAGTGGTAAAGTTTTATAATATTACCTTAGACAATACACACACACAATTTAAAAACAACCACCCAATTAAACGACACACAATGTACGGGATTTCAATTCAGATCACTATGAAAAAGATCACTAAAATTGATAACAATCGTCGCACTGAGAAAACACGTGCGTATCCTTCACCACTACGGACGAAAGTCCATGATAAAATTTTATAGAAAAGTATCGTTTTTGACATTTGGATGAAAGTATTGAATTTGACTAGTTGGAAACTACCGTATTCCTTAAATTTATTAATGGGTAAAATCATTCCAGCTTTATATTTATTGACAAATCATAGTTTGTGATATACCATATTTAAGATTGATTTGCTTATTCTGGCAATAATAATTTAATTATCACAGCTCGTCTCCAAACGTCCCGTGCTAAGGGGAAGCAGTGCTTCGCGGTACTTCGGCAAAGCAGTAGCACTGTCCAGTTGTTGATCAGCGTCAACGAGGAGCGAGCGGTCAGCAAACAGATGGTCAAATTTACTGGCAAGTGAGTAAACTACCTTTTCAACACACTTCCTCATAAAATGGCTCCAATCCCATAACAATTAGAAAGAAAGAAAGAAAGAAAAACCATTTATTTCACACACAAATGACGCAAGAAACACACACACACGATTATAGTTAAAAAGGGACAAAACAAGCAATGGACATAAAAAAAAAAGAAAAGCACTACAATTGCGTCACTCATGCGTGAAAAAGGGCAGCGCTCAGCTTAAATGCTGTGTCTCGCGCACGCAGGCACGATACAACAGCGCTGGTTTTCAGCACTGACCCTTCACGCGTCCTTGCCTCGGGACTATAAAAATACTGACGCCGTTTCGGCATAACTAAATAAAATAAGTATACAAACACATAATTATAATCAATTACACATCGGGTACACATTTAATAAATGTTAAAATACAAAAAGTAAACAAAACAAACAAAAAAAAAACAATGAATATTAAAAACACGCCATAGACAAAACAAATCACAAGACGAGAATATCAAGACACAAAACATAGACAAAAAATTTAAGTAAAAATAAAAAGTTAAGTTTCGAACCATAGACAGCTCGGCAAGTGTAATGTAAGTGTAATTAGGCAATTAATGACACTTATAATCAAACTGTGACTTTTTTATTACTTCTATTTCACGAGTTATTAATAGAGTTAATTTTTTTATTTTAATTATTACTGACCGCACGGTTGGCGCGGTGGCTGGGCAACTGGCTGCCGCACAACGTGTCGCGGGTTCGATTCACGCACGGAACAACTCTTTGTGTGATCCACAGATTGTTGTTCCTGGTCTGCATGTGAAATTTTATATTTGTAAATGCACTCACGACACAGGAGAAAATCATTGTGAGCGGTAATGGCTTTTTTTTTAATTATTGGTAGTGTTACGCTTACACTTGCTCTAAAAAGCTATCAGCGAAAAGTTCATAAAATAAATAAATCCTCAATTTTTAGTCTATGGTCGATGCGATGCTCGCGCATTGTAAAACCATTAAATTTTTCCCGCCATTACAAAACATTTTTCACAACTCGTCTCGTTTTCTCTTTTGTTGTGTGTTTTTTTATTTAAGTATTATTTTATTCAGAAGTGTGTTGAAAAACGTCGTATGATTACCGTCACCGCCTCCTTAAGGTCCTCGCCGGTAATCACCAACGTTACAGTGCGGCCAACGTATCTTGGCGAGTCTGAAGTTAGCCGATTAGCTGCGCAGTACACAAGTTTGTTCCTAAAAGATCCATTGCGCAGACAAACTGCTAACTTCAGACTCGCCAAGATACGACGGCCGCACTGTAAACACTCGTTAGTACCATAATACTATTAGAGTAATCATCTAAGTGTGGGAGAGCCATGCTTCGGAACGAATGGGTCGGCTCGAACGGAGTGATACCACGGCCTCACAGAAAACCGGCGTGAAACAACCACAGCGTGTGTTTCGTAGTGTGAGTGAGGTTACCGGGGCTAAATCCTTCCTCCTCCTCCTTTCCCAATCCCTAAATCTCCATATCCCTCATATCCAAATCTCTAATCTCCAAATCCCTAATCTCCAAAAAGTTGATAACGCACTCGTAACCCCTCTGTTGTTGCGTTTTATATTTATAAAATTTGTTTTTTTTTTTCAGTATAACCAAAGAGTCAATAATCGACGTGTACGCGACGGTGGTGAAGACGTCGGCCCCCATAGAGTCGTGCACGGTCCGCGAGGTGGAGCTAGTGGGCACGCAACTATGGCTCGTCTCGCCTGCGCGCGCGCAACTACCGCTGCAGATTGAGGATGCTGCAAGACCGGAGAAATCTGATGTTCGTTGCTCATCCTACTTTATATTTCTATTCTAGGTTAATAGCCTTCTCTTCTAAAGGGTGCGAGTTCAAAATCCTGTATGTAAAAATCAATGCCACTTTTCGTTATAATGTTATAACTCAATGCCCTTATATAACGATTTGGATAATTTTAGTCTTGAATTATTTGTGGAAGTTCAGTGAAGGTTTTTATGTAGAGACAAATTTAAAAAAGTCTTGACAAAGTTTAAAACGGACCTCATTGCGGGCGGAGCCAGAGAAAATTTCAAAATTATCTTGAAAATGTGTAAAATCGACATCCATGCGGGCGGAGTCGCGGACGAGATACAAATATAAATTAAATTAGATATAAATATATTATGTTGTTTAATGCAAATAAATATGATATCGAAAACGTGCTATTTTATACGGAATTCGTAGAATATTGACGTTTTTTATTGATATTTCGGAAAAAGTATTGAATTTTACTGAGTAGTTAGTAACTTTTATTACATATTATAGATCGGCAAACGAGCAGACGATTTACCTGATGGTAAGCAATCAGCGCTGTCCATGGACACTCGCGTTGCCGACTTCTTGTGGATTATTAGGGACTAGCTACTTTCGCGCGGTTTCACTCGCTGCTCGGCTCCATTTAATCGTAGCGTGATGTTTTATGGCCTATAGGACTCAGGAACAATTTTGGCAATCCGACCAGCGGTTCCAAATATTACCCCCTACATACAAACTTACAAATTTTACCTCTTTATAATATTAGTATAGATTTAAGGATAGAGAAAGGGTAATTTGGCCTTCGGCGCCTCTCCTAACTACCCCATTATTGCTCGAAGCGCCATCTATAACCGAAATCGCCAATTTGCCGACAGGACCCAGAAGCTCTGAAGATCCGCGTGAACCAGGACACGAGGTTAGACAACAGAGTCCTGGACCTCCGCACTCCTGCCAACCAGGCTATATTCCGGCTGGAGGCTGGAGTCTGCAAGCTGTTCAGAGATCTGCTCACTGAGAGAGGTAAGGATGGAAAGAGTTATAAGGATTTATTTGACGAAACTTTACTGCACGGTTGGCGCAACTGGCTGCCGTGGATTGTGTCACGGGTTCGATTCCTGTACGGAACAACTCTTTGTGTGATCCACAAATTATTTGTCCAGACCTGGGTGTTGCTCACTTAGAGAGGTAAGGATAGATAGAGTTATTAGGATTTATTTTACACAACTTGACGGGTATCGCGGTGTTTGATCAATTGGCTGACGTGGAATGTGTCGCGGGTTCGATTCCCGCTCGGAACAACTCTTTGTGTGACCTACAAATTGTTGTTCCGGGTCTGGGTGTGATGTGTGATGTTTGTGAACGCACCCATAAAATTGAAGAAACTAAAATATGTAATAATAAAAAAATCGACGCTGATTTTTTTAACCCATGGACGGGCGTGCAAACAATAGTACAGTTACGAGTGCGCTGTCGACCTTTATGGGATTAGCGTTTCGGAGATTTTGGGATGTGGGGGAGGAAAGGATTGGGTCTCTCCGGTAACCTGAATAAAACGGCGAAACACAACGCCGTGATTGTTTCACGCTAGTTTGCTGTGCTCTATCCTTCTTTGTGCTTTTTGATGTTTCGGGTCAAGCGCCATGAGGCACCGCGACCTCGGCATAGAGCAGGAAAAGGAACAGTGGGGTTTTTAGTCAGTAAAAGTCTGACACTCTCTACCTTTATCCAGGAGTGGAGAAGTCATTTGAAAATTTTACCTCCTCAAAAAAAGGCATGAGAATTGATTGGATGTCTTTCATCATTCAAATGCAGATATTTATTGTTTATTTTTCGCTAATCATCACCAAATCTATGATTATTTAGACACCACTGACATACGGTGAAGGTAAACATCGTGAGGAAACCTAGACTTTTCTAATTTTAAGTTTGAAATCGCCAACCCGCATTGAGCAAGCGTGGTGATTAATGCTCTAACCTTCTCCGTATGAGAAGAGGCCTTTGCTCAGTTGTAGGCACTCATAGGCTGACGATGATGATCACAAAAAAAATAGGTACCTGTAACATTATTTAACGGCCCACGCAGTTTTAATATTAATCAAAGTGAAAGTCAAAATAATTTATCACCATTTTTAATCCCCAGGGTTCGTCGAGATCCACACACCGAAGATTATATCGGCGGCATCAGAAGGCGGTGCCAACGTGTTCACCGTGTCTTACTTCAAGTCGTCCGCGTATCTAGCGCAGAGCCCGCAGTTGTACAAGCAAATGGCAATCGCCGCTGACTTCGACAAGGTGTGGTGATTAATGAAAAATGCATTTTTTTGTTTTTTATGTGATACGGCGGCAAATGAATGGTCCTTTTACCTGATGGTAAGCAATCGGCAGCATGACCACCACGTGTGCGTTTTCGGCTTTTTGAGGGTTTGATGATTAGTTGATTTAGAAATTCTAAATGAATAAGGGGAGGCTAAGGCCTTCGGTAATCACTCACGCCTGCGTTGTTTCACGCCGTTCAAATTTGCCACCCGCAGTCGTGCTTCGCACGGGCAAACCTGATGTTAAATTTCTCCACTATTTAATGGATGTTATTATACATATAAACCTTCCCCTTCAATCACTCTTAACCGGTTTCCGAAAGGCCGATCAGTGTTAAAATCAACTTAATCTCTTGTCAAGTCATCTGATTGGTTGACTGAATTATCAACAACCAATCAGATGACTTGACAAGAGATTTAACAGGACATTAGTTAATTTTAGCGTTGACAAGCCTTTCAGAAACCGGGTGTTAGTCTATTAAAACAAAACGCATCAAAATCCGTTGCGTAGTTTGAAAGATTTAAGCATACATAGAGATATAGAGATAGAGGAAGCGACTTTATTTTTAACCGACTTCCAAAAAGGAGGAGTGTTCTCAATTCGACCGTATTATATGCTTTTTTTATGTTTGTTCGCCGATATCTCCGTTATTTATGGACCGATTTTAATAATTCTTTTTTTGGTGGAAAGGAGACAGTCTCAGAATGGTCCCATGATAAGGAAATCAGGATCTGATGATGGAAGACCAGAGAAATCGAGAGGAACTTTCAAAAATTGTAGGGGCGAGTGGTGTTTTTGCACGTGGTTTTAGTAGGCTTTTGACAACGCTACAACATGTCGATGTTCAAACTTGACCTGATGACCTGATGATGGAGCACTTTGCACCAAGATTGGTCGTGACTGTCATTCAGGGTCTGATGATGAAAACGATGGACAGCTCAGGGAACTCCTGAACGGCTTACAGTAACTACCTCGTGTTTGGACTTAATTCATTTATATTGATAAAACTTTGCACCTTTATGGATTACAATGAAGTTATGGAGTAAATTGTGATGATGGAGCCGGAAGACAGTCGAGGGGTCTCATTGACTATTTGGAGTAGTTGCCTTGTGTTTGGGCTTGAATGATTCGTATTAGTGAGTACTTTGCACCAAGATTGGTTGTGACTGTCATTAAGGGTCTGATGATGAGAACGATGGACAGCTCAGGGAACTCCTGAACGGTTTACAGTAACTACCTCGTGTTTGGACTTAATTCATTTATATTGATGAGACCTTTGCACCTATGTGGTATATGTATAATGAAGGTCTGCAATATACCTGATGATGGAGGTCATTGATTTACAGCACTGAAAGCTAACTAACTCGGACTACCATTGCCGTAATTTTCGATCTCAAGTAGCGGTCGTCTTCTCTATCGAGAAGCATTATAGCTATCTGCCTATCACTTAAAGTGGTGAAATAAAAAAGTTTTACAAAAACAAAAACCGACTTCAAAAAGCACCTAAACTAAAAAGCAAAAAATAAATTTACTTTGTTCAAAGTAATACATATTTACATTTAGTTAAATAGAAAATAACATTTCATAAGTATTTTATAATTTTGAAGTCGGTGCCAAGTAAATACTACATAGGTACTAAACAACAACAGTTAGAAAAATATATTGATAGGTACCTACTAATCAACAGACTAGCAAGAGGTATGTAGGTAACATCATTACACTACTATAGTTTTACTTGGCACCGACTTTAACATTATAAAATAGTTATTAAATGTTATTTTCTATTTAACTAAATGTAAATATGTATTACTTTGAAAAAAGTAAATTTATTTTTTGCTTTTTAGTTTAGGTGCTTTTTGAAGTCGGTTTTTGTTTTTTTTACTATGTAGTGATTTTTTCAATTACAGGTATTCACAGTAGGCGCAGTGTTCCGCGCCGAGGATTCGAACACGCACCGTCATTTAACAGAGTTTGTTGGCCTTGATCTGGAGATGTCGTTCAAACATCATTACCACGAGGTCCTGTACACCATCGCTGGGACTCTTACTGACATGTTCCGTGGACTTCGAGACCAGTAAGTAATCTATACTAATGAAAGCGGCACATACCAAATTTCAGCGAAATCGTTAGGACCGTTTCCGAGATCGCACGCATTTTCGAGCAATCAGCGCCATCTGCCGGGCTGATTTGTGAATCTAAACTGTCCAGGGCGGCACTCCAATGCGTACAGAAAAAAAAATTAAATTGGTCAAGCCGTTTAGGAGGAGTCCAATGACATACACACGTACAGCAGAATTGTATATAAAGATTATAAAGAGGGAATTCGTAAGTTTCTATGTAGGGGGTCATTTTTGGAACCGCTCGTCGTATTTTCAATGCGGCGGTTTGCAATGGTGTGAGAAGGAAATATCTCACGCGGACTGCCTCTTTCTTAAAGAGGAGATGGCTATCCAGTTCTTCTCACTCCGCACCATGGCCTCGATTAAGGCCATAGTTCCATTTCCATTTTTTACTCTTTGGAGACGGATAATGCAAAAAGCATATCATCATCATCATCATCAGTGCCCACTGCTGAGCAACGGCCTCTTCTCACACGGAGAAGGTTAGAGCATTAATCGCCACGCTTGCTCAAGCCGGATTGGCGATTGCAACTTATAATAATTAGAAATCATAAGTCCAGGTTTCCTCACGATGTTTACCTTCACCGTTTGTCAGTGATGTCTAAGTAATCATAGAAAGTACATATAACTTAGAAAAAGTCAAGTTTCGAACTTGCACCCTCATGCATAAGAAGCTGGCGTCTTAACCTCCGGGCCACCACGACCCATCTGTATATTCTGTGATTAAAATTAATAAATAAATATTTGTCCAGGTTTGCGGCCGAGATAGCGACAGTGGGCCAGCAGTACCGCGTGGAGCCATTCAAGTTCCTGGACCCGCCGCTCAGGCTGGAGTTCCCTCAGGCCATACAGATGCTTAAAGAAGCAGGTTGGTATACCATCAGGTATTTTTTTTAATAACAACTACCCCACGTGGGTTAGCTAAGTGTGGGAGAGCCATTTTTCGGCACGAATGGGTCGGCTCGACCGGAGTGATACCACGGCTTCACGGGAAATCGGCGTGAAACATCCACAACGTTGTGTTTCCGTGTCACCCAATCATAAAATTTCCAAATCCCTAATCCCCAAAAGGTCGGCAACGCACTCGTAACTCCTCCGTTATTGCGGGTGTCTATGGGCGACACTGATTGCTTACCATCAGGTAATCCGTTTGCTGGTTTGCTGACCTTTGACATAAAAAAAAACTGAGAAAAGCTCTACCGGCCGGCTCAGCCGGCTGTTCTCAATTTAATATGCCTCACGATATGGAAATTAAAAAGAAAGAACTAATATTTATTAAAAACATTTTGTAAATTTGGAGATTGAGGAGGGGAAGGATTGGGCCTCCGGTAACCTCACTCACACGGCGAAACACAACGCTGTTTGCAAAAAACAATGTGCTTAGTGCTTTTATTTGCTTTACTTAACTTAACTGGTAATCAATATTAAAAAATGTAATTAAAAAATTTACAATTGAATACTTGTTTTTTTACCAATCAGGAATAATACGCGTGATATTTGTCGAGACGTGAGATTCGATCGAAGACAATTGACCTCCCTCCCACTCCCCTTAAACATAGCACGTAATTGGGTAGTTTCCTAGGTCAAAAATAAATGATTTCGACGTTTCAATACAACAGAAAATTGAAAACTAACCATACTTTTATTCATCGATCGATCTATACACTAAGTTTAAGATATTATTAAACAAATTTTTAAGAAATAAGTGCGCTCTTTGACGTAAAAACACTATGACGTCATAACTCAGTTTTTCATACAAATTTCATAGAAAAGCATCGTTTTTCACATTTGAATAAAAGTATTGAATTTGACTAGTTGGAAACTAGCGTATTTATGGACACGCTCCCTCCCACCTAAATAGGATCCTGGCATCCTCAATATGTTATGTAGCAGTGTTAACTTGTAACATTTTTCTTCCCTCCAGGAGTAACAGTGGGCGAAGAGGATGATCTATCGACTCCGGATGAGAAGCTGCTGGGTCGCCTGGTGCGAGCCAAGTATGACACCGACTTCTACATCCTGGACAAGTACCCGCTCGCTGTCAGACCATTCTATACCATGCCGGACCCTAACAACCCGGTAAGTTGTAGGGTTTCATTTTATTACGTAACTTTATTGTCATGTTCGACTATACTAATATTATAAAGAGGTAAAATTTGTATGTAGGGGGTAATCTTTGGAACCGCTGGTCGGATTTCCAAAATTCTTTCACTGATAGATAGCTACAATGTTCCTGAGAGATATAGGCTATTCGTTGTGCGCGCGATGACAGCGCCCCTAGTGGCCGCAACTATTCAGGACTTGTCATCTGTCAAATCATGTCAACTAGATGATAAGATATTGATTATCGACTAGATTTTTAACGAAATTGAAAAAAATAGTGTAAAAAGTGAGTGTATACCTAGCGATTTTCTCCCTCGTGAAAAATATGGATATTATAATACGTACGGGATTTGAATTTTAATTCTCTTCGCAGCAGCTATCTATTTTTGTCTTTGCTGCAATGTCCACTTTGATGTTGGAAACGAATAAAACTTGCACGAACTGTTTTTCTTATTGTTTTACAATTTACGACACAGCATGTACTATGATCAATGTCGCAAATTTTTACGTTTTTACTTAGAAGTTATGAAAATAAAACAATTTGACACATGACAGTCCAGAATTAATTCACATTTCTGCCACGTCGTGCGCTACGATCGATTTGTCGTTCACCACCACCCACTTCGCACATAACGAATAAAACATCACGCTACGATGTAGGAGCCTAGCAGCGGGTAAAACCGCGTGAGAGTAGTTAGTATTCGATAAGATAAAGGATTTAAAAATTAATGATGATAAACTGATCCCATCGTTTGTTTTTTAATTTCTGCTGTATAAACTGTCGAGTGTTCGATTCCCGCACGGTACAATTACTCTTTATGTGATCAACAACGTGTGATGTATATGTGAAATTGTATTTTTGTAAACGCACCCACGACACAGGACATCTTAGTGTTATGATAAAAACTAGCGATCTGCCCCGGTTTCGAATGCAATGCAGATCCTAAATTTCTCATCTATTCAATGGATCATATTAAAACATACGTCGTGGTGGCCCGGAGCTTAGTTTTTCGGAGTTTAGCAGCCCGCTTCTCATGCATGAGGGTGTGGGTTCGAAACCTGGCAAGTACCAATGTGACTTTTTCCGAGTTATATGTACTTTCTTTGATTATTTAGACACCACTGACATACGGTGAAGGTAAACATCGTGAGAAAACCTAAGTTTTAAATCGCCAACCACCAACAAAGTATTGAGCAAGCGTGGTGATTAATGCTCTAACCTTCTTCGTATGAGAAGAGGCCTTTGCTCAGCAGTGAGCACTTATAGGCTGATGATGATGATATAAACCTTCCTCTTCAATCACTATATCTATTAAAAAACCGAAACAAAATCCGTTGCGTAGTATTAAAAATTTAAGCATACATAGGGATATAGGGAAAGAGAAAGCGACTTTGTTTTATACTATGTAATGATAAAGGTAAAATATTCAAAGATACTATGCTTTTTTCGATTTTTATACAAATTGTGTATTATATTGTATTACAGAAAGTATCCAATTCATACGACATGTTCATGCGCGGCGAGGAGATCCTCAGTGGAGCGCAGAGGATACACGACCCCGAGTTCCTCACTGAGAGGGCCAAGCATCACGGCATAGGTAAGAGGGCAGAGACAATAATTTTTGTTTACCCATAGTAACAATAGAATAAATAACATTTAATAATAAAAAAAAATTATGAACACTTTTTTTAATATTAATCAAAAGACGGTAGTTTCCAACTAGTCAAATTCAATACTTTTATCCAAATGTCGAAAACGATACTTTTCTATGAAATTTGTATGAAAAACTGAGTTATGACGTCATAGAATTTTTGCGTCAAATAACATACTTATCTCTTAAAAAATATTTATTATTTAGTGTATCGACAGATTGATGAATAAAAGTACCGATAGTTATTTTTCAATATTTTATTGTATTGAAACGTCGAATTAATTTATTTTTCAATTAGGAAACTACTAATATTATTTTTACATAGTCAATTCGAATACAGTAAAAATAGCGTCAAAAAAAAAAGAAAAAACACACACAATAAAATAAAATCAAGGCTATGTAATAATTATCAGGTATCACATAAATTTTTCATTTAAAAATTCATGAATTGTGTACTCTAAGCTGTCAAATTAACGAAGTAATCTGTTTCTTCTTTTAGACATCAGTAAGATAGCAGCATACATTGAATCCTTCAGGCTAGGATGCCCCCCACACGCAGGTAAATATTTCGTTTTTATTCTACTACACTAGCTTCTGTCCGCGGCTTCACCCGCGTTGTATATTGATAAAAAGCCTATGTATCAACTACCTACCTTTCTATTCTATTCTCGAGTTTGTGGTCCCATAGTTTGCTATGAGACCGCGTCTAGGCAAACGCAGTGTAGGGCGCCCTCCAGCTAGGCGGACTGAAGATATCCGCAGGGTGGCTGGCAGTCCAGAGACGATCTCCGGTCACCTAGAGCGCGGGTCTGCGAAGGCGAGTAAGGGTAGCTCGCTGCCCGACCAGAACCAGAACCGAGCGTACGGCGCGTAGCGTTCCGCGCGCGCCTCAAAGAGCCAATAGACCACCACAGACGGAGCCCTATAGGGCTGATGTTCAGCCGGCGTTGCGGTTTAAGCGCAATAAGACATTGCGGCCTCGGCCCAGAAAAGGAGCGGGAACCGGGGGGGTTTAGTCAGTAAAGAGTCTGACACTCTCTCTCGCCTTACCCTGGGCGGGAGAGGTCATTAGATGATTTTCCCCTGAAAAAAAAAATGGGTGGCTGGCAGTGGTTGGATGAGAAGAGCTGAACATCGAGCTCAGTGGCGTGCAATTGGAGAGGCCTATGTTCAGCAGTGGACGACATCAGGCTGATGATGATGACATATATATAATCATGATCAGGATGATTCCCCCAACTTCTTCAAAAGAAATACCCGAACTCTCTCCTTGAAAGTTCTTTAATATGCTATTATATTATCTTCCCCAGGCGGTGGTATCGGAATGGAGCGAGTAGTTATGCTGTACCTCGGGCTGGACAACATTCGCAAGACTTCAATGTTCCCCCGCGACCCCAAGCGAGTGACGCCGTGATCCAATCTTGTATTATACCAGTTTTGTACTGACTACAGATCATTATTCAATAAAATGTTTATTTAATATTGTGTTTTTGTTCCTCCATGAGGTTCTTGACTAGATCAAAAAATAATTAGGTACTCCAATTGTTAATGCAGTAAATCTATACTAATATTAAGCTGTAGAGTTTTTTTGAATGCGCTTATCTCTGGAACTACTGGTCCGATTTGAACAATTCTTTTTGTGTTTGTTAGTCTAATTATCGAGGAAGGTTATAAAACATCACGCTATGGTATGTAGGAGTCGAGCATCGGGTAAAACCGCAGTACAGTAGCTAGTTTTTTTTCACGCTACGATCCTACCGTTTATATATTATCTCATCGTCTATATCATGTATACATCCCATTTAAGCACAACACCATCTAAGTGCCCCCTTAGGGGACAGATTTAGGGGCCCCTTAGGTTGCGGGGCAAGCGCCTAGGGAACCTTATTCACCCGCACACACAATTTTACTTTAGAGAAATTTTATACGATAAACATTACTGGAGAGTGTTTTATGGAATAGGAGGCAAACCAGCGTACTGATCAACTGATGGTAAGTGATCGGCGCTGCTCTTGGACACCTGCGGGACCAGAGACTTACAGGCTCGTTCCTTGAAGGTTTGTTGAAGGTCGCATCAGTTCGGAAATACCGCCGCCGAAAGATCATTGCAAAGTTTTGCTGTGCAGGGCAGAAAGTTTCGCGTAAATCCTCTAATTCCTCAGAACACTCCCCGTGGTAAAGGCGATATAGAGTACATAGCGAGGCTACATCCTTACGCAGTGCCAGAGTCCAGCCGGCCTGAGATAACAGGGTAGTCAACGATTCGAACAGCTCGTCGCTGAATAAGATCTAGAGGAAGAAACTGGTAGGTACTGATGTGCACCCGCCCAAAGATGAGCACACAGTATTCCCAACTTGCGCCTTGTAAAGTAGTAGCCGATGCCCTGGAGGGAAATACTGCCTCGATCTATTGGGCACACCTAGCTTCTTCGAGGTCAACTTAGCCTTGCCCTCTAAATGACCGTGAAACAGGATTTCGCTCGTTTGTCGACACCAAGAGGGTGCTCTGAAATTGTTCGTTGAAAAGTTCGTATGAGTTCGGCACGTATGATTTTGGTTCGGCTCGTATGATTTCGGTTCGTCTCGTGCGATTTCGGTTCAGCTCGTATAATTTCGTTTCGGCTCGTATGATCTACGACGCATATCATCAAAAATTCCCCAACGACATTTTCAACAATTGGGTATATCCAAAACACTATGGCGAATTTTGCGTAAATATTTGGGTTGTGCAGGAATAGAAGCTGAACGACCATTCACATTCATAATGAAACAATTAATTTCTTTTTGCAAACCTATAGGTACACTCGTATATAAAATTAATCGCAAAATGTGTTGGTAAGCGCATAACTCAATAACACGAACGCCTGGACCAATTCTGCCCATTTTTTTTGTGTTGTATTTGGTAATGTCAAGAAAAGGTATGAAAGAAAATTTTGGAAAAGTAGAAGAGACAGCTGGGAGGTAGGGTTCCTTTCGTCTTTAACGAGATAGATGGAGACATGTACGAAGCAGGGGCAGGCCGCTAGTAGACAATAAAATAGCACTTTTACCGGGCAAAATTATACATAAAAAAAACTATAGATATGAAGCCACATCTCCTTATCAGACTACTTACTCGGAGAAGATGTACGTCGAAAAAACTTAGTCTTTTACATACTTAATGTGTGGTAATGAAAGAAACGTATGGTGTTATGTAATCTAGAGACGTGATTGGACCGTTTTTATTTGAATATCAAACTGGAAATATGGACATCTGTGACATCCACACCGTGGTCTTAGTGGATGTTCGTGCGCCTGATGGCTTCTTCAGAGCATTAACTTGCGCTTGTCACAAAACTAAAAATTATGAAGAATTAATACCAGTGTGGGGCCCAATTCCTCCCCCTCTCCTAACCCTTCAAAAAAAAAGGCCGGCAACGCACTCGTAATTCCTTTAGTCTTGCAGCTGTCTATGGGCGGTTGCTTACCATGAGGTAATCCGTCTGCTCGTTTGCAGACTTATCCCATATAAAAAGCTTGCTGTAGTTAACTCGTGTAGTTAACACCAACATTAAAGTTAATAATTAAACCTTCTTCGAGTATTTACTGGAGTAAATCCACCGTAAACTCCTGGTTCCGCATAGTGGACATTTGCTAGATATCATTTTTCATTACTAAATAATTACCAATCTTTTCTCTTCGTAATACAATAAAATACTTAGTGATCTAAATTCAAGCTTTGGCACGAATGGGCCGACACGACCGGAGTGGTACCGCGGCCTCACAGAAAACCGGCGTGAAACAAACACAAGTTTCACCGTGTGAGTGAGGTTACCGGAGGCCCAATCCCTCCCCCTCCCCTGTCCCTTCCCAATCCTTAAATATCCGCAACTCTTTAAAAAAGGCCTCTAAAAGCCCGGCAACGCACTCATAACTCCTTTGGTGTTGCAGGTGTCCTTGAGGTTATTTTCTTTTTAAGATTATTAGACTAAATATTTAGTGTTACACTAGTCTCTGGTAAGTACCAAATGGAACCAATGTAATGTAATGATGTACCAAAGAATTAAAATAGAAATAGTTGTGAAACTGAATGAAAAAGGGAATAGTGAGAGTGAATGAAAATAAAATAGTTGTGAAACTTAATGAAAAAGGGAATAGTGAGAGTGAATGAAAATAAAATAGTTGTGAAACTGAATGAAAAAGGGAATAGTGAGAGTGAATTAAAATAGAAATAGTTGTGAAACTGAATGAAAAAGGGAATAATGAGAGTGAATTAAAATAGAAATAGTTGTGAAACTGAATGAAAAAGGGAATAATGAGAGTGAATTAAAATAGAAATAGTTGTGAAACTGAATGAAAAAGGGAATAATGAGAGTGAATTAAAATAGAAATAGTTGTGAAACTGAATGAAAAAGGGAATAATGAGAGTGAATGAAAATAAAATAGTTGTGAAACTGAATGAAAAAGGGAATAGTGAGAGTGAATTAAAATAGAAATAGTTGTGAAACTGAATGAAAAAGGAAATAATGAGAGTGAATTAAAATAGAAATAGTTGTGAAACTGAATGAAAAAGGGTAACCATGGAGTCTCTTACTCGTTCTCCTTCATAGGAATCTAAACTTTGGAACGAGCAAATAACTTCACTAGAGGACTGACCGATTGACATTTAATTTTGATATTTAATTATTTTGTTTGATGTTCAATAGTACCTATTTTGGTCTATTTAAAATAAATTTTATTCTGAATTTAACTTCGATATTGGTATGTTTGTTTCGGTCTCTATCCATTTAAGTCATTCTAGGTTCATAGAAGTCAAAGTAGGAAATAAAAATCATTTAAAAATTATGAATTTGAATTATATTTTATTACAATATATAGCAAAGTATGTCCACGTATCATTTATATCACACTTATCGCATAGCGATCTCATTTTTACATTATCCTTATGTCAGTTCAGACTGACAGATTAATAGAACTGTCAATTTGACACATGTCACTCTGACAGTCCCGACTGACATTTACACTCATAGAACATGATTTCCAAACACCAATAAAATCAAAAATGCTTAAAAATAACTTAAGAACTTACATAGAATCCGCGTTTTATTTTTATTATTACATTATTATTTATTTAGGTATAAATATTTTTGTGACATTTTCCTTTTTGTTAAATAGATGTTCATGAATATTGGTTTTTATTAGGAAGCAATTATTGAGGTTTATTACAAAAAATATGTACAAATATTATTTATTTTACAGATTTCTTCAGAGTTATGACTGATAAATTTTAATTCACACTTTATTCATGATGATTAAGACAAAAAAATTAGGCCAATGAACAATATTATAACATTTAAAACACATATGTATTTGTATGTATACTTTGATCAGATGAACTGAAGTTCGAATTAAAAAAGAAATTGAGGAAGATTATGGATTATATCCTAACGCTACTATGTATAGTTAGAAAGCACAATACACTTGAAAAAATCATGAACAAATATTTAAGAAACAAATATCATCACATATGAAATGGTCCATACAATGTTTTAATAAGTTAGCCTCGATGTTTAAGTTACTATTAAGTTAGAAATGATATCTATACTTAGGCCAAGATCTATGTAAAATATTTGTAAACAAAGCACAAGAAATAATTATTCTGTGCTTCTGTTGTACAATACCGCCGACGTATCTTGGCGAGTCTGAAGTTAGCCGATTAGCTGCGCAGTACACAATTTTGTTCCTAAAAGATTCATTGCGCAGACAAACGGCTAACTTCAGACTCGCCAAGATACGGCGGCCGTACTGTACATCACTTAGTAATGTCAGTAAAAAGAGCAAGATAGAGGACGTGAGTGCAGCGCATATTTTTTATGTGATGGGACGGCAAACGAGCAACCTGATTACCTGATGGTAAGCAATCAGCACTGCCCATGGACATCCGCAACAACGGATGAGTGACGAGTACCGACATTGGGGATTAGGGTTGCGGATATTTATGGATCGGGGGAGGGGAGAAAATGGAGCCATACGGCGAAACACATCGCTGTGGTTGTTTCGCGCCGGTTTTCTGTGAGGCCGTGGTATAACTACGGTCGAGCCGACCCATTCGTGTCGAAGCAAGTCTCTTCTACACTTTTTGGTTTTTAGAAAATCATAAATTAAAAAAAAACTTAAGCATTTGACTGCCGACAAAAACTGTTGAAGGCTAAACCTCCGCTAGCGTCGGACAGCATTATCCGACATGGCGTTCTAAGTGTTGAACCTTATGGTTTGTTCACAAACCTTCCACATCGATATTGGCCTAAATATAGTGTAATACTATCGACATATCGATATGAAAATCACAATATCAGCACAATTTAATCGACAAAAGCGAACTTAACGAACAGGGTTATAAATAAGATACTTTAATAATTTTTTATTTCGAAAAAACAAATGCATTTTAACTGGTATTAATGTGTAATGCACCCTTACAAAAGCAATCAATGGTTGGGTATGAAATAAGAAAAATTTCGTTGTACATTTTTGTGTGAGAATAAACCTGTTTATGGAAGCTTTTAAATATGGAAGGTTTTTGTGTAAGATCTAGACTTTTAGGGCGATATGAAATAGCGGATATGTCAACGCATATTAATTAACTATTACCCAAATTAAATTACTTTTATCAGCTCAAAGTATTAGGAACAGTGAAAAGGTTTTTGTTCACCACAATTTAAGTGATTCTACATGACTTTAAGCTGCTACAGCGCCACCTAGTGAGCTGTAACGGCAGCTCGTATTTTTATGTATATCATTTACAAATTTTATTAATAGTTTATTTGGTAAAGACTGCATTGTTGGTCAAGTATAAAAATGTTAAAGGAAGGGTTTTTTGATGATCGTCCGAAGATTCGCTCTGGCCCTGATTGAGTGATAATGAGTTATATCTCCAGTTATACCTTCTAATTTCCGTATAACTCCAGCTAGTACTTCTTTTACGAGTTTGGTAAATTACCAAATGATTTCACCAGCCCCAGGTGAGGCGAGTCGAGTATGTCGTGGTGGCCCAGAGGTTAAGGAGCTCGCTTCTCATGCATGAGGGTGTGGGTTCGAAACCTGGCAAGTACCAATGTGACTTTTTCCGAGTTATATGTACTTTCTATAATTATTTAGACGCCACTGACATACAGTGAAATTAAACATCGTGAGGAAACCTGGACTGATAATTTCTAATTATAAGTTTGAAATCGCCAACGCGCATTGAGCAAGCGTGGTGATTAATGCTCTAACCTTCTCCGTATGAGAAGAGGCCTTTGCTCAGCAGTGGGCACTTATAGGCTGATGATGATGATGATAATGATGATGATGAGGTAAGAACCACCATGTTCCTTCTCCTACTTCGACGAACGCCGCGGTACCCTGGCTGATTAGGACCTCTATGTTATTTACTTTTCGATTTTAACGACCCCCGAACAAAATAACTGTTTAAATCAACAAATTTTTGTAACATCTACAGGTCTGTGTCTAATACGCATGTGAAAATGTTTTAAGTGTTTAATTAAGTAGCGACTGGAGTAGTGATGGAAGCGTGGGCAGACCTTCCACTAGGTGGACTGGTGTCATAGTCAGAGTCGCGGGGAGCCAATGGATAGTGACGAGTTGTCGTTCGGCAGCCTTTGTCCAGCAGTGGACGTCTTTCAACTGATGATGATGATAAATTTTGTATTTGCACAGAAGAGAATCCTGTTCTAAATATTGACTATAAAAGTCCTAGAAAACTAAGAATCTTTAATACATTTACGACCAACAACGCAGTCTTTAACCAAAGCGTTAAGACTTAAAATCGTATGACAAGAGCGAGGTGAAATGAATGAAAAGTAATGAAAAAAACATAATTTAATACTTATATACTGTTACCGTGTTTAATTACAAGCAACTAATTAATGATATTCGAGTTACCATACATATATAATGACCACACACCAGTTAAAAATGTTCACAAAATTAAACAAATAAGTATTCATATTTATTTTTATTCAATGTTTAACTGATAGAAAAAGAGTAACCATAGAGTTTCTTGCTCGTTCTTCTCCATCGGAATCTACACTTTGGAATGAGCAAATAGCTTCACTAAGAGGACTGACCGACAGACTGACACTTTATATCTTTAAAGTATTGTTTGACGTTCATAAGTGCCTATAAGTGTCTAATTAAAGTCAGTGACTTTGATTGCCCGCACCGAGACGCGACTTTTCATATATGGGACGTACCGACGCAGAGAGAGACGATATTGAAAAAAATATCACATACAAGCTTTACTATGACAACCTCATTTGTGACATATTTTTTAGAAATTTTCAAGCTAAATGTAATATTTGCCAAATAAATTTAGAAGAGAGATTTTTTTTGTGTATACTTTATTTCATTGTTAAGTTAAAACTAATTTATTACGACTGAAAACAGCACATAATTTAATATTACACTGACTATTACCTAACATAACATTAATATGAATATTTTTGAAAATTTGTTTACATTTTTAACATGCAGTGTGGGCACTAATAATATACATACATACATACATACATACATACACAATTTCTTCGTAGCAACATTATCACAATTTGTATATTTATATATTTACATATTTCGATACGTAAGTACTAGAATAGGTCTGAACAATTCCACCCTTTAGTTAGCCGACTTTATAAAAAGGAGTTATTGTGTCACACAGACAGATTGTAAGTGGGGTTCAGTTATTGACAATGTTCTTTTCTATGTGAATTCAGGTTTGATTCTTGGTTGACGAAGTACCTATCATCGGTTTTCAGAGAATTTCGGTAGAATCAACTCAAAACCATATAAAAAAAAACAGTCAAAAATTACCATATTTTTTAAAGTACACTATTACATTATTACAGGGTGTTCAAAAAATCTTCAAGTTACAATTTAACTTAATTATTTTCAAAATTAAGTAATTAGGTAAGTACAATTAACATCGCGCTACAATCTCAAAAAACTACTCAAAAATAATTAGGATACATTATTTCATAGATAACTGTTTTGTGAAACGGCAATGTGTGAGAGGGATGGAAGATAAGAGATGTGTGTAAGAGCGAGACAGACTGATAGGAACATAATAATAAAACTATAGTACCTTAACCAAATATACAGTAGTGTCTCTCTTACTAACAACTTTGAAAATGGTTAATTTTATTTTGAAAAAACATCGGGCAAAATTCCCAGGTATGGAGTATATTATTGAGAATTTCACAAGTCGAAAATCTCAATTGGGTAGTTTCCTAGGTCAAAAATAAATTAATTCGACGTTTCAATACAATAAAATATTGAAAAATAACAACATAAACTGTTATTCATCGATCAACCGATAAACTAAGTTTAATTTTTTTTAGCTAATTAATTAAGAAATAAGTAAGCTATTTGACGCAAAAATTATATGACGTCATAACTCAGTTTTTCATACAAAAGCATCGGTTTTGACATTTGGATAAAAGTATTGAATTTGACTAGTTGGAAACTACCGTATTATATTTTGACACACTTTACCAAAAGGACGATTTTAATATTAACTTTACAAATAACAACATTGCCGTTTTGACACAAAAGTTAAATCTACACAAACAGCTTAGCACCAAAAATACACTGAAAAAAACCCAAAATGTATTCGAGAGAGTACTGTCAATTCAGAAAAACTTCATTTATATGCATTTCTCATTCACTTTTAACTATACACTATGGTCAGGGACCATTGGTTCACTTAGCTAAACATGTTATCAAGTCCAATTGGCACTAACACTGGTTTTAATTACACATTATTCACATTTTTTGGGCACTTGCACAGGTTATGTCGCACTTGCACAGGTTATGTCGCACTTGCACAGGGTTTGTCGCACTTGCACAGGATTTGGTGCACTAGCAAAGGTAAGTTTAGCCGAATAATGTCTTAAGGTCTTCTTCGTAGAGGGCTATGACCAGCATGATGCCGATGCCTGTTGCTAGCCCCATGAGTTGTAGGACACACTGGCAGAGTGTGCCTTCTTTGCTATGCGATGTACTGAGCTCTGGCATCTGTGAAAAATAGAGAAAATGATATTTTAATTTACATAATTTTATAATACAAAATCTGACGTGACTTTACACTGGGTGACGACACAATACACAGATTAACGCCGCTATACACAATTTTTCGCGATTTCTTAACATTGAAGATGTGTAAAAAATATTTCACATTACTTAGTGGGGGATTTGATTAGAAGTCGATCATCAAAAAACTGCCCCCACCAAAAAGTTAAAGTTCTGAGGAAGAAAATCTTTCTCTATCTATTTAACAAAAATATTAGTTTAATAAATTTCACACATGAATTTACTCCATAGAAGGAGACCTTACACTTTGGAACGAGCAAATGGATGCACTACAGGCTTGACTGACTGATTCAAAAATCATGTTACATTCAAGTCTTACCTTGAGTAGCATACTTTACTCACTAAACGTAACTTAACACAGTCACGTACCGTTACACAACTAATACATGTTTTACACAGTACTTATAACGTTATTTTACACAAATTCACGTAACTTTACACAACTTTGAGTCTTCATACACAAGTAAGCATACTGACCATATCAACGAGAGCGATGTAGAGGAACATGCCGGCGGCGGCTGCGAAGAGCCAGCGGGTGGCTGACGGGGCATGACCAGCCAGTACACCACACACCATGCCTAGGAGGCACAGACCTGATGATAGCACGTTGTAGGCCACTGCGCGTCGCACCGACATCCCTGCTTTCAGAAGGACCGCGAAGTCTCCTGTTGAATAAATAAAGTATTACTACATAGTACAAAACAAAGTCGCTTTCTCTGTCCCTATATATCCCTATGGAGGGTCGTGGTAGACCGGAGGGTTCGAAACCTGGCAAGTACCAATGTGAGTTTTTCCGAGTTATAAGTACTTTCTATGATTATTTAGACACCACTGACATACGGTGAAGGTAAACATCGTGAGGAAACCTGGACTTATAATTTCTAATTATAAGTTTGAAATCGCCAACCCGCATTGAGCAAGCGAGGTGATTAATGCTCTAACCTTCTCTGAATGAGAAGAGGCCTTTGCTCAGCAGTGGGCACTTATAGGTTGACGATGATGATGATGATATCCCTATGTATGCTTAAATCTTTATAAGTACACAACGGATTTTTTGCGGTTTTTTTAATACGTAGGGTGATTGAAGTGGAAGGTTTATATAAGTACCAGAATTGCACTCTAGTCTAGTGTGTCCTATCACAAAAAGGCCTAAATTGGAGACGAAATAATCTACGAGGTACGATGAACACATCGAGGGCCGAATTTGACCAAACCAAACTACACTTTATTAATAAAAAAGTTAATAAAAATGACTATTCTGCTTACCCAATTCATGAGGCAGTTCGTGGCACAGCACCGCTATAGCCGTTGAGAAACCACCAGCTATGTTGGACGCGAACGCAGCACCTGTAAGGCAACAATCGTTTATTAATTACAATTGGAAAAACAACAGAGTCTTTACAAGAAAGTTCCTGGTCTTCATTTGTGGTTATTTGGATTAACCCGTTAACACATTCAGTGCCCCCGACGCGTATGTGCGTGCGAGGAAACGCACATACGCGTCGGGGGCACTGGATGTGTTAACCGCCACGTAGGTCACCGGTGACCTACGGTAACGGAGGATTTCCCTTCATTAGTTTTCTGCCGGCAGCCAAAGAATTTAGGACGTATTTCAGGCCGTAATCCTTTTTTTATGTAACAAGCCGCAACCACTCAAAACCGCTACATCCTGTAAGCCAGGATCTACAGTAGATACAACCATGAAAACACCGGAACACTGAAGTCCGGCGCGTCCCAGAGACATGAATGACTGTCTTGGATCCCGCAACGAAATAAATCAGAAGATATTATTTGAGGAGAAGAAAAAACGAAATAAGTTTTCACTTCCCTTGGTAAAATTTAATGTAGGAGACAGAATGACTTAAGCCTTAAAAGCACTTTAGAGGTATGGGAGAACAGGGTGGAAGGTTCCTCATCCTCCATTGCAAAGGGAGGGTCCTCCGACCAGACGGGTGTTGTGTCTGGTGAGCTACTGCCCGACGGTTGTTGTCGGGATTTTTGTACCGGTTCTAATTGTGTAGAGAACTCTCATACCGCGATGTAGAATCTTGCACGTGATTGGTGCTATTGTTACTGTTGTGCGATAGATGTCGCTACAGCACAGAAGAGACTGTACAACTGGGAGAAGCCCAGTCAACAAACACCACGCTGTAATCTGTCTACAACTGATGTCACTCTTCAACAGACAGATACTTACCAATAGCCATGCCGTCCGTGAAGTTGTGCAGCCCATCTCCCATGATGACCATCCAGGCGACGGAGGCGATGGAGGAGGGGGGAGCGTGCACGTGCCCGTGTGCGTGAGAGTGCCCGTGATGTGCCCTCGAGTGCTCTCTGGAAATAAGATAAGGGGTTGAGTAAAATTTCATAGCTGCTGTACTATAATATAATAAGTAACTACAATTGTGACTCGGTTTTGAATCTTGATTCTGAGCCTTGATTGCTTTTGTTTTTCTTCTTTGGGCATATAGATCTTATAGACAGTGAAATTATGAATGGAAAAGTTCGCGTCCCTCTATCAATTAACTTCACCAAAATTATTATTATGTATTTCCAGAACAAGAGCCACGTGAAGAATTCGAATGTAGTTCAATATGGATAAAATTTAAAACTCGTATGTAACCAGCTAACATACCCAAAAAAAAACTATTAAAATGAAAAACTCACCTTAAAATAACAGTATAGCTGTCTCCATCCTTGAGATCTTTAGAGCCATCTTCTTTATGCTTGATATTGTTCATTTCCACCACCGCTGGAGTAGACTCGGCTTTCAGAAGCCAATCCTTAGCCGTCGGTTCTTCTTTACCTTCTGCGTTAAGAGCATTCGAGGATACTACGCTTACAGAGTTATTATGCTTCTTCCCATGCTTCGGACTTGATGGTATACCGTCCCTTAAGTGATGGTCATCATGAGTATCCGTGTCGATCTCGTCATAACAGTAAGGGTACTCCGAATACTTGTGCTTACAAGTCTTCGTTGTAGGATCACCCTTTTCGTCTCTCTTAAAGATTTTTAGCAGAGAATTTGATGTGGAGTTCGTTATGGCAGCTTTGGAGCCTCCTGAGCAACCTCCTACAGTTTCGTCTTTAAGGACACGGACCCTGCTTGGGAGCTTGTCTTCCTCCAACTTCTGGCGACGTTTCCTCCATTCTACTACAACTGTTAGACCCTTTTCAGTGAAATAGAAGAACACTACTCCTAACATAGCTGCGAGCCCCTTCCACATGCCATCGTCATGCGAAGCTCGTGCTTCTATCTCTGTCTCTCCATGAGCTCCATGGTCATGAGCTGGACTCATAGCATGAGGCATTAAATGTAAAAGGGCATCTCCACAGAGCGTGCCAACCGCCAACGCTACTAAGAACTGTAGGAGGTGATTGTAGTAGGTTTTATGCATGATTGGTATCACGGCTACTCCTAGAAGACCACAGGCACTTATCGCTAATATACATAAGGATGAATATAGCCAGACTGCATACATGTTTTTGTGGTACGCGCTTTCTTCTGGCACGTGTTTTATTGTGACATCAGTTCTTCTTCCTATGCTGGTTTCCTTTATACATCCTGTGCGTTCTATTGAGGTATTGGCTAGTTTTTGGTATAGGAGGATGGGACATATTGTCTGTAGAGTGGATTCTGTGATGATGGCGTCAGACTCGTGGTCGTGGTCGCCATGTTCTGAGTGTGAGTGTGGGTGTGAATGGTCGTGTGGGGGTTTTAACCTCGTGTTCACTGTTGTGATTAGGTCGGAGCTGTTCATACACTGGAAAGAGAGAAAGAAAGGGTTAGAATATTAGACCAAAAAGACCTAAACATAGCAAATATTTTTTTTAAGTTGTAGTGACTTTGATTTTTATCGTTTTGGACGACTTTGAGGACATATTACACTTTTTAGACTACACCATTTACGCTCAACTCGACATGATGCCAAAAACATTCAAAAAGCAACTTACATTAACAACATCCTCTTTTCCATTCTGCCCGTGGAAGTATCCTCGGCTCTCGCTCCTCTCACCACCTTCAACTAACTTATGTAGATCTAATTCTTCTAGCATCTTATTGAACCCGGTCAAATTCATCGTCATACTCCCAGCGTCACCGTATAACCTAAATATCTGCGTCACATACGTATCTGGGTTCACTTTGATCTCCCTCTTAGCCTTCCCTTGTCTTATCTTCTGGAGTTTCTGATGATATCTCGAAGGGAGTTTTCTTTTCTCTTCTAAATCTATATTTAAATGGTCGACATCGTTTATTTTAGCATCGTATGTTAGTACGCCATCGTTTTGTATGTCTATGTGTGAGCCGCATGAATGCGCTGCGCAAAGTAGGCAGAACATACAGACGGTGACTATGTGACGAGACATTGTTACGCTTAGTCTAATTTGATTGGCTTATATTATAATATAAGGCTAATCCATTTGTTGTGTAGCGGCGAGTGATTGGCTGATTTTGATCTGTGGACAAAGAAAGAGGAGATTTAGTTTTACGATTCGATTAAAGGTCACTATTATTAATGGCGCTATAGAACAGAACTGTCCAACTAACTAAAAAATTATAATCATATTTGTCTTCATTAAAATCACTGGCAAAGTTTTGGATCTATAAACAATTTTAATGATATTCACAAAATGCAACAGCACACAGCATACATCACTATTCGTTAAGGGCTGATTTTGTCAATAGTCAGATAAATGTTATCAGAGGAATAAAATTGTTGATGTCTCTGTCTTATACAAACATTCTGACGCGTGTAACTTTAATCTACCCATTGAAAAATCAGCCCTAAGACTATTAAAACAAAGATGGGTTAAGTATGTGAACGTACATTTAGAGGTCGCTAATAAACTTATTATAACGTAGTACTTAATAATAAAACAATGAAAGACAATTATTTATAAATAACCTACATGTCTTGTGACGTCATCGACTCAAAACATCTGTTTTACTTATCCCTTCAACAAATATTAGGTACAAATGGCGAAAGTAAGTAGGTACGTTTGTAACGCTTTCACGGCAAAACCGCTGGACCGTTCGTAGTGAAATTTAATAAGAAAATAGTAGCTACTCCTTTAAAATCAACTGTGATAATATTAAGCGACAATCCGGGTAAAATTCAAAGTTTTAATCCTTACTACTAACATAAAATATGTAACAGATTTTATAAACTTCGTAACTCCGAAACTGTTGATCTAATTTTGATGAGACTTCGCACAGAGATAGAAAGAATATCACTAATAGTTAAGCAAAAAATAGAAACTTTGTTCTCAAAATGTGGTCAGCAGAAATGTAGATGACTGCGGGTGCAAGCGAAATAAGGGACTGCGGCCTCCTCGGCTTGGAGCAGGAAAAGGTAAAGGGGCTTTTAGTCAGTAAGAGTCTGACACTCCCTCTTGCCATACCCTAGGCGAGAGAAGTCATTTGATGATTTTCCTCCTCGATAGAAAAGCGAAAATGTACAAAATTTACATAACAGGCACTTTTCACAAAAACATAAACAGAGTCCAATTTAACAGGGATCGAACTGAAATCAACAGTGGATTTCTTCAGGTGTTTTTTTTTCTAAAAACCGACTAATTCCGATGTCTTTTAACGGAGTCCTTAAAACATGTATTTTGTTATTAATATTATTTCTTTGTAATAGCAGCTAATACGTCATCTTTCCAAATTTCAACTAGCTAGCTATTACCAATAACGAGATGCTTACAGACAGATAGACAGACAGACGGACAGGGGAGTCTTAGTAACAAGCTTCCAGTTTTTACCCTATGAAGAAAGTAAGTATAAACTAATAACTTGTAGGTACAAAAAGTTAGTTAAAATCAATTTTTGTCAGTAACCTTGGGCTAGATATTCAAAGCCGTAACATTTGTTCCGTTTAACACTTTTAGATATAAATTTGTTTTATTTTTATTTGTTTTGTTTGTCGCGTCTTTGTTTTAATGTGTTTTTGTTTGGAACAACCATTTGAATGTTTGTTACTCTATTATAGTAAAAGTTTTTATACCTACTTATTTTTGCATTGATCGGAATATTATTTCAGTTGGAAAGTTGACGTTATTAAAAATATATTTGTAAACAAAGTGACTCACGTGAGTAACTATTAAAAAAAAACGATAATTTAACAGAAGTCTTTACATATTTCAACACGACAATATCGTGTAGTTCATCTTTTTCAATTCTCAGATACAATATCCACGCTTTTATTTAAAGCCTATGACTGCCGACCGAAAACTGTTGAAGGCAAAACCTTATAATGGAGGTCTCAAAGAGCCAATAGACCACCACAGACGGGGCCCTATAGGGCTGATGTTCAGCTGGGATTGTGGGGTAAACGCAATGAGGCACCGCGACCTCGGCCCAGAGCAGGAGAAGGAACAAGGGGGTTTTTAGTCAGTAAGAGTCTGACACTACCTCCCGCCCGGCCCTGGGCGGGAGAAGTCATTTGATGATTTTCCCCTCACAAAAAAATACAAATTCGTCAAACGCGCTGTGGCTCAAATTACCACGATTGAAAGTTTAAAAAAACAGCGACAATTCAGTGGTACACAGCGGAATACACCTCTCCTCCGCCACGCGTATTAAGCGAGGTAATCGATTCGTCACAAATTGTTACAACGCCGACAATTTCAACAAAAAATATGTTTATCTATACTTTGTTGACAATATTTTCACGACACAACTGACTGACAACCTGCTTTTGAATGCGACACAACAATAACATATTTGTTTCGTGTTAAAATTATTACTGATTACACATGCCCATTCCCCTATCCCCAAAAGTTCCCAGCAACTCCCAAAAGACGGATAACGCCTCTGCCATTCCTCTGGTGTCCATGGGCGGTGTAGATTGCTTACCATCAGGCGATAAACTTTTACAAATCAGGCTAGATTTAATTTTAGAAAAACAAATCAATAGTTGACTCAAAAAACGCCTTCAAATGAGACAGTGTCATTTTTCTACTAAACGAGCAATGTTGAACCTAAAAATTGTGTTTTTTTTAGATGTTTTATATTACGTACCTATTTTAGCAAAAATTGTGCTATAATCTGTCAATCTGTCCTATCGCATAATCTGTCAAACATCAATGTCATCATCATCATCATCATCATCTATTAAAAAAAGGACTTTACTACAGCAGACAGGCTATAAAAAAATATGGAAAAAATTGAGTCTTTTACTCGACCCAAAATCAGACCCGCGACCTTGGACTCGACTCAATTCATCAAACTCATAAAACAAATTAATTAGTATACGCCATAAAAAAATAATTAGAATGCAACGAAAATAAGTGAACACGCGCTTGCTATTGGCTCGTCTAAATATATGCGCTTGCGCATCACAAGTTCAAGGCGTCGAAAGTGATCTAGTTTTAGAGATTTTTATAGCGAATTGAGATTATGCGTAGAAAATTTAGTCTTGCATACGTAACGAGTATAAATTTTGACTAAAAATGACGAAACAAATGTTTGTGGGCGCGTAACTCGAGAACTACTGCACCGGATTTGATAATTCTTGCATATTCTCATAAAAACTAGGATATTCACAAAACTGTGGATATTAATTCCGTTTCACCTTATAAAAAAGTAGTAATCTTTTAAAATTTACTATGCCTAATGAAATTATTACGAGAATGAAAATTGCATGTGACGTCACAATAGGGGTCACCGATCCATTTCTAGACCTTGCACAGAAACACGCGGCTTCGTGAAAGTGTTCCAAATAAAAAACAATAACGTATAGCACGTGCCAGTTGAGTATGAATAAAAATTTTGTAATTTTATATTGCAGGTTAAGCTACGGGAGGTGAGGTTGGTTTTTGGATGGGTGAGAATTTTTGATATATCTGAGATTCCTGATAGCGGGGTTCTGGGTTGTGTCTTTTGGAACGAATAGGCTATGAATCGTGTCCTTTGGGCCGAATGGAAAGTGGTACATCACGACCATTCAGAAGACCGGGGAGATACAACGATGTGCGGCGTAGATTGCTTACCATCAGGTAATCGATACGCTCGTTTGCCTATCCCATAAAAAAAACTACAAAACATAAAATTATACTGTGCCTATCCTTATCAATTGGGCTAATTGTTTAATTACCGACAATATTTTTATAAAAGTCTACATTCTTTACAACAAGTAAGTCATGGTTTAAGTAACAATTTAACTATAAACTATGATAATAAAATAATAGTATTTTACAAATAATTATATTTATGCAAAGGTGTAGCTGTTTTGAAGGTCGATATGCTTCTAAAAAAAAGAAAAGAGCTGGGATTTTTTTTTTATGTAATAGGTCGGCAAACGAGCAGACGGATTACCTGATGGTAAGCAATCAGCGCCGCCCATGGACACATGGACGCCCGCAACGGAGGAGTTACAAGTGCGTTGCCGACCTTTTAGGGATTAGGGATTTGGAGATTTAGGGATTGAGGGAGGGGAAGGATTGGGCCTCCGGTAACCTCACTCACACGGCGAAACACAACGCTGTGGTTGTTTCACGCCGGTTTTCTGTGAGGCCGTGGTATCACTCCGGTCGAGCCGACCCATTCGTGCCGAAGCATGGCTCTCCCACACGTAAAAAATATAAGAATATAATACATCCTTTTCCATAGACAAATTAGGCAAAGTATTTTCTTCAGTTATAATTTAACAATATAGCCTGGGACTACATAGTACAAATAGAGTACTGATACATTTTAGGATTGTATTTTTTTCGATGTGATATGTCGAGAAATGATCCCATGGATGATGGTAAGCAATCAGCGCCGCCCATGTGCACCTGCGACTCCAGAAGGGTTACGAGAGATTTTGGAGATTTAAGGAGAAGAAAACAACAGAAGTGTTGTTTAAAACTTTACATTAGTTACTGTCATTCAGAAGACGCATACTGCTGAACATAAGACCTCCCACTTACTCCTCCACGTCGCGTCGTACGACAACTAGTTTCTTGGCGCCACTGAACAAGCGATGTGGCCTGCCCATTGCCACTTCAGCATTGCAGATTTTGTCTCGAAATGTGGTTCTTTGCCGAATTTCCAATCTTTGGATTTTTCGGACAAAGTAACCTCGAACATAGTTTCTAATGGATTTGCTGGAATAAAATTATCTGGATCACGTAACGCGAAGGAGCCTTCGCCTCTCGTCTCTGTAGGATGCTAGAAATCTGGGGACAGAGACTACGTCTCAGTGCCATACATCATTACTGAGGAGAAGACTATGACTAAGAGAAGGCATTATTTCCGAACGCAAAAACCCTCTGAGATCCGATTAAAGTTATAAAAAGGAAAAGCTTGATAGATTTGATGGGTGTTCAAGCGTCTTTCTTCTGCCTTAACACCGGAAGGGCTAGGCAGGCTTTTGATTGGCAGGACAAATGGACGAAATTTGGCACTAGGATAGCTTTTAGCCTGTGACTCTGACTGTCGTGGTGGCCCGGCGGTTGAGGAACCCGCTTCT